ATTCGATCTGAGAGGCCGGACTAGAGCAAAACTGACGCTTTGGGGGGGACCCAAGATCGACTATGATATATGTCGGAACTTTGTAGTGACATGTGTTGGTTACCTAAGTGGGCAGCAGTTCCATGTCGGTGTCTGAAATGGAGGATAGGGGTTCCCATTATCCACTAGCTACTTCTTCGGCTGTGTTGGCTACAGTCTTTCCCTCCATCTGCCACCTCTTGACTGGAAATTCCTGCTCCAACTGCTTCAGGAAAAAGAGCCATTCGGAGATTTGTTCGGCTCAATTCATCAGTTGGTCTGTGGGATATCTCTAGCCTCATAACCCTCATAGCCTTGCCTTTTTTTTAATGACTGGCGCCCGGTGACAGGGACTGATCTCCGAGCGGGTCTCCAAGTCTTCCGGCTTCGCTGGCAGCACTTTCTGCCGAAAACCGCGAAACCGTGAAAGGTTTCACCCGGACTCGACTGGAGCGATCGACTAGATCACGCTGCGTTGGATGGGTTAGTAAAATAGGGAGGGTTTGCTTCGGAACAAGTAGACCCGTTCTACCCAGCAGCGACCAGAGGCCAGAAAGGGGGCTTAGGGGGTCTCCCTCTCTAACAAAACAACACCACATCAATCCAAAACACTTCTGCACTCCTCTTGCTGCCAAGACCCTCCATGATGATATACATGCTTTCCATAGACCGAACCAGACTTCGTTCAAACGCACATCCTCCGCGAGCTCCAACGATCCGTCCGCTTCCCGCGGGAACCCGCCTCCTCCCACCTCGGGAGCGACGCTGTTTTGGGGTCGTCGTCTGACCGGTGGGTCTATCCTACCAGGGCCCAGTGGATGATGGAGCCTGGTGGCAGGCCTGGTCCAAACAGAGTGCTTGTGAAACCTGACTGACAGCCGCCCCTTGTCTGACTGGGCCCCTTCTTGGATCTCGGGCCCCCTGCTCTTGGCCCTTCCCTTGTGCCTCTTGAGTTCCTGTTACAGGTCAGTTCGGATAGGTCGATCCACAGGGAGCCAGGAGGAGGGGACATATTCCCCAGAATCCCTACCTCAGAACCCTAATCCCAACTCCCAAACCAAATAGGCGACCAAGCCAACCAAGCCAAAACGCAGGGGAAATCTCCACCTGGTCCTTGTCCCATCCCACGTCTCTCGCGTCTCGGCCCCCTGGCTGCTGTCGCTCCTGCGACCGAAGGCGACAGCCATCGCGGCTTTAAAAAAAACACAGAGAGAGAGAGAGAGACTTCATGCCATCAGAATCGATTTGCACGCATCAGATTGCCTGAAAAGGTCTTCGGCGAGCATGGAAGGAGTAGTTTAAAAGGATCGATCTTTTTGGGTGAGTGGCACCCGTTTGGATTCTCAGCAGCCTGGCACCCTTTTGTGTAAGGAAAGTTGAAGTGAAAGCCTCTTGCCACCTGTAACAATGGGGAATCGCCACACTCTGCAAGAAACCACAACATCCACCTGAAAAAGTTCTTCTGCAATACCACTGGTGCAGGATTAGTTTGTAAAAGGACCATTCTCTTTCGAACATCAATGTTCAGGCCCACAGGTCAATCAGTTGTTTTCAGGTGCCGAACTGAATGAATCGTGTGAATCGTCTACGAAGCCTCTAGGATTCCCAAGACAATCCGTTCCAATTGCCATCCAAACCAGTGGATGTGTCGATGTAGAATTTTTCCCCAAGATCCAAGGATTTCTTGCAGGTGATACTAGGAATTGAAATCAACCAGCCAAACAATCCTCATCCCTCTCCAGACTCTAGCCAGACCTCCAGCCATACTGGGGACCCTCCTCCAGCACCTGAGCACTTCCCCCCCCCCCTCCGGCGCCCGCCTTGCGGCGGGAGTCCCCAAAGGGCGGAGGATCCTCAGAACCCCAGCGGGCGGATCGCGGATCGAAAAACACCGAGCGGATCGGCCGATTGGATCGGTGTCTTTTTTGTGGTTCAGAGAGAATCCCGGCTACCTCTTTCAACAAACGGATTGCAACTCAACTAATAGTTGAAAAAGAACAGATGTGTTCTTTTGAGGGGGGAGAGAGTGTTTTTTATTCTTAATGATGTGGAAAGGGTAGTATGGATGTTTGGTAAAGACTATTAAATCAATGGTGGTTGGAAGCCCAGGGAGTGGCTTTGGAGATTTTCAGGAACCCTCTCTGGCGCGTTTGGGGGTTCTTGAGGAACCCCTAGGCATCCAAGACCATTGTAAACACGTGGGAACGACCTGGTGTTGCAGCATAAAATACATTAGAAACCTGAAAGTAAAACAATGACTATGAAACCAATTGTGGGCCAGGAAGTCTATAGGGGAAACTGCCGATATATCACCCCATCTGTTGCTCGGAGGATCTCGGAGGCGGCTTTCTTTTCACAAATCCCTAGGCGTGCTTCCTGGCCCACAACGTTCAGATAGGTCGCTCAAGCACGAAGCAGGTTTTCTACGGCGTCGTTAGACAGAATGGTTGGAATCCCAAAGCAAGCGGGTTTACTATAATGGCACTGCAACACCCCCATGTTTGGAATGGTCAGACCGACTTCCAGGAAAATTGATGGAAGTGAAATGGATGATAAGAATCCGGGCCCAAACCAACGGAAGGGGTCTGGACGTACGGACGGGTCCAGAAACCTGCAAAGCTGTTGGGTCCAAGATTCTTAGGGCTAACGAGGAACACTTCCTAGCATGTGTGGATCACAACTGCCAAAATGGGTCATTTTCCACCCCCAGCCCTTTAATAGAACTTAATAGCCTTCACCGCCTTTGCCGAACCACCATGGGTTTTACTATTCAAAGATCGGCCTTCAGCCAACCGGCAGAACGAAGCGAAGAAGCGAACCGCGAGCGAGCGCAGAAGAACTCGGCTGAGCTCGCCACATCCCTCTCGAAGTCCTGCTTCCTGTGGTCAGTCGGGGAAGTCGGGTTTCTACCCGAAGACGATCCACAAAGCCTGATAACCACCCAGTGGATCCGAGTTACCACTATATAAGGAACCAGGGATTCTAGGTCTATGGTTTTAGTCTTTGGAACCACTGGTTACCAGCTATAGTGGTTTGTCTGGATGCCCTGATCACCGCATGCAGCTAGAGGAAAACGACGTCTTTCCGGTGTGTTTCCGAGCTGATGCTTTTCACATGGACCCCAAGAGTGGCACACCAGGTGGTTTTTCGGGGTGGTTTTCAGTTTCCAGGAAGGTAAGTCCAAAGCAACAGCTCGGAAAAGCACGAGCTGTTGCGACCAGGCACCGGGTCTTTCAACTGAAATCCAGTTTCCGCTGGCGCTCATTTTTCTTTGCCAGGCTCGCTTCTGGAGGAGCTTGACGGATCTTGAGTCAGAAATGGCAGAGATGCCTGCCGGAACCTACAAGGTTTTGTAGTGCGCGTTGCGCCATCTACTCTGAAACGTAAAGAATCTGTAGCGTTTCCTGCGACAGCATGCTTCATTCAGCTGCGATGCAAAGCCTGGGTCTGCCACCACAAGTTTGGTCACAAGAATCTGTGTGTGGCAATTCTGTAAGGACGCAGCGAAAGCAACACGCAAGACAAGTATTGATCTTCCTTCCACGACCAATGTGAGGAGAAGTAGCAATCAAGTGAAGTCCTTTTATCTCCCTTAACAACCATACGTTTCGCAACAACAAAAACTTGTAAATTTTTGGGATATGCCGGGGTATGCAACAGCCCCGCAAGCAAACGCTGTTTGCACCTTGCCGGACACTGCTTGCAGAAGCCCAAAGGACTGAGGTTCCGACACCAAGCAGCCCTGCAGACTGCCCTGCGGACTGCCCTGCGGTGGCAGCACGCCGCGTTCGGAGTTGGTTGGATGATGAGACTTCCAAGCTTCCAAGACGTGGAGACAGGCCTACCTCGGTCTCTCAAACCATCTCAAGTTTGGTCACCATCTCGGTTTGACTTTCCAAGGTCTTTCAAGTCAATTCAAGACCTGCCCACTGAAGACTTTCCGGAACTGAAGACTTTCCAAGGTCTCAAGTTCGATTCTTCTAGCTTTTCAAGTCAATTCTCCACCAGCCCTGCCCACTCGCTCGGGACCCCCCGCAAACCGAGCACCGGCGGCCGAAGCGCTCCAAACGCCTGGCACGTTTGGCTCACCGGAGACGTCGGTGCAAAGAAATGGAAGGAAACAGCACAAGGACTGAACCAGAAGACCCAGGAGAAATGTATTTAGAAATATATCACTGCAATATATATATATATACATCCCATAGGGTCCAGGTACCTCCTGAGGATGGTCTTGGAGGTGAAAGTACTTCCAGAGAATGGTCTTGGGGGGTCAAAGGACATCCTCAGGATGGTCCTGGACCCTTAGGGCATATATTCAGCATTTTCGAACTGTTTCACATATTAATAGTTACAATCATGGTCAACCCCTCCACTGGATCTTCCAACCACGTGCAGAAAGCCTGCCAAACTTCATCCATCAAACCGGCCAAGCTCGGCAGACTGTATGCCGTTGGAAGATGCACGTATCTCTCAGACTATCCATGGGACTGGCATAATATATATATATATATATTCTATATATGCCTACATTTCTTCCGGGGTCAACCACCCCAATAGTTCCAATGTGGGTAAATTGGCCAGTCCCATGGATGGTCTGGGTCCATCATTAGCCCATCCCGCAAAGCTCCGTTGCCACTATCTTCTCGAAGCTTCCACTCTTTGATGTAGGCAAGTGGAAGAATCTGAGAAGTCTTGCAGGCAGCGTCGCGGCATCCCCCCATGAAATTGATGAACATGTGACATGAAGATGTGTCACAGCTTGCGGATTCGATGAATCAATGAGTCAAACAAAACGAAACCAATCAAAGCAAAAGAAAACCCATGTCTTGTGAGGATGATGAGCCGTTTGAAGAAGCCCGCTCTGTGCACTTCAGTACTGAGGCTGATGGGTGTGAACTTGCGCAGGTTCATGCCTTCAGCAACGAAAGCAGCAGATTGCTATGGGCGCCCGCCCCGCGAGACTCACGTCCTTTTTCACATCGCTCGCGACAGCCCAGCTGAGTCGAAAATTGCTGCTCCATCGGCATTCGTTGCTATACACATCGTTCGTCCCTGCTGTCCCTGCCTGTACAAAGAGGGCGATTCAGCAGCAGCAGGCGGAAGCTTCCTGGCGTGGCCAGACGCGTGGCCAGGAGATGAACATCGCATCTGCGATCCCACAAAATTGACCTCAATTTGGAATGGCAAGGGGCTTGCCCCAGGCCATTCGAAAGTTCGTGCAAGCCACAAGCCGTAAAAGAAACCGGGGTTCCCTGATCGTCTGCAGAAGCTTCGAAATACTGAAAACATGGGTCGACGTCGCATTGAGGAGATGAAGAGATTCACTTGAAAAGCAGATCTTCAGACTTCAGAGTCATCACGGTCTCACGAAAGATCTCATCTCAACATCTGGTGAGAAAAGATCTATCACTGACAAGACACCCCTCAGTCGAACTCGAATTCTGAATTTTCGATTTGGTCAGCTCACCTCACAACCCTCACAGCCGGACAAAGCCGACCAAATTCTCAAAGCTCCTCTCGCGGCGCCCGTCATGTTCACCGCATCGGGTCCAAGATGTAACGCAGCCAAGTTCCCCATGAGATACACCGGGAGCCTCCCCCACCTTGGATCAACGCGGCTGTTTGCAGGAACTTGGGGAACACAAGCATCAAAACAAAAAAGACTCCCGGAACCGGGGACTTGTTCCGAACCGGGACATCTAAAACCACCCGAAGAGTGCCCGGTTTTGCTGGGCCACTGAAGGTTTTCAGTGAGGACAGGCAATCCATTCTTCATTTTAAGTGGATGTGCCTCCTGCAGTCCTGCCAGAAGCGGATCGGTGGCCACATCGACTAAAGCTCCAGTGGCACAGATCAGGTAATCTGCTTCCATGACCTCTCCGCTGGAGAGCACCAGAGTCCAGCCAGCACCATGATAGCAGGCAGTCTCCACTTCAAGCCACTCATGCACTGACACCTGTCCTTTGGCTTCCAAGTCGGTCAACACGGAATTCAACCTGGGATTTGCTGTCCAGCCGGGAAGGAACAACGAATATTCACCAGAAGGGGACTCACCCATGGTGGGAAAACACGGGTAAAAATATCGCCCCCTAAGAATCCGCACCCTCAAACACATAGGGTTTTGAGGGCCCGGACCCCTGCTATGGAGGGTCCAACCCCTGCGAAGAGGTCGAGCCCGTTCGGTAAAAATATTCGCCTTAAACCAAACCAGGCATCTCAGGACTGATCGAACCACCATCACGCGCCCTCTTGTTGATCCTTGCTCGTTGCTCGATCGACGCCTGCTCAAATTCCCTTCGGTGGTCCCATCGCTTGTAGCCCATCCAGTCCAAAGCTAGGTCATACTGCTTCACACGTCGATCTCTCCGAAGCAGCAAATCAATGTGACCACGTCCAGCAAGCTGATTGCACAAGTGAGCTGAAGTCAAACCACCGCCAATAATCACACCCCTCCCTTTGAGATGTTCCATCTTCTCCGGCTGGTCGAAGAGATCCCAAGCATGGTGGATTTCACCCAAACCGCTGGCCTCCAAGTTGTTGTAAAATGCCGGCCATTGACGCCGCCACGTTGGGCCGCGGGCCACGACGACATGCTTTGCATGGACAGCCTTCGTCCCTGTGGCCGTCTTCAAAGTCACAGTCACACCTGAACCACTGGGTCGAAGAGTCTCGGCATGAGCATGCCACAAATGATCCTCCAAGCGGTTCAATTTTACCAGAGCTTTGCAGAAATCAAGCATCAACTTGTGTGAGGGTAACACAAAAGGGCCGTGATATGCTTTGTTCTTTGGCAAGTCTTCCAGGAATAAGAAATCATTCCGCTTCTTGGACTGTGCCCAGACTGAGAGTGTGGAATGATCAAAGGCGTCTGGATGCATCATCTCATGTGATCGTAGATGTGAAATTCCTAAAGCTGCGAATTGGTTCTTCCACCTGCCCATCCAGGTTCCACCTTCATCCACAAAAGCCAAGTTGAGGCCGTGGGACCTGAGCTTCTGCAAGTGAGCTCGGACATCACGGGGCCGTCGGACGTAGCCTTGGACACGATATGACACGGCGAGGGAAGTCAGTTCGCCGGTTTCGCAGGTCCAAACCTGGTCCTGAAAGTCCTGAAAACCGGAAAACCTCAGACCTCAGTGTCTTCGTGAACTCTGATGAACTGACCTGTAAGAATCGCTCTTGTCCGACCCCGCACCGAATGGAGACGGTGCGGGGTCCAAGGATACATCAACGCGGAATCACCTGAGAATATATCACGCCCTCATCACCAGGTAGCTTTCGATTGGAGGTATGACATCATCCATGGCCTCGTTGCCTAGGACCAGCCGCGAGCCCATTGCTAGACCATGGGGACCAGCGCCGATGATCCTGAAAGTGAGGTTCAAATTTATAAATGCGTGTGTAGCAAATTGTGCTTTGTCAAATGTTTTTGAGCACAACAAAGTCCAAACACAACAATACACCTGCACCAATCACAAAAACATTAGCAACAACATGAACAACTGTAAAAGCAGTTGCGAGTCACACTGTTAAAAGAATTGACTGTAGAAGATGAATCTGAAACCAATTCGTTTTATTCTTACTATTTAAGAAAGAGTAAACATGTTGGAAGTTCAAACTTTTGGTGTATATATATATATACGTATATCATAAATCATTATAAATCTTTTGGGACAAATGTTGAGAAGCAGCACATCCACGAAATCAGGCAAGGGCTTGTTTTTCTTGGACATCGATTCCCATGCAGCCGCAGATGCAAGCGGCGACGAGATGCGGGCGGCTTGGAGCCAAGGAGCTCTTCGAGCGAATGCCCATGTCATCGGCAAAGCATCACATAGCGGAGGAAAGCACATCTCTGCTTGGTGGTGTCAACTCATGATAAAAAAAGAATGAGAGGGGAACAAACATATCGATGTGTTATGGGACGTCGATACCTTGCCCCACCATCAATTTAATAGGCTTTGCTGAAAACAACCGTGTTTTACTAAGGACTTCACACTACAAAAAAAGTCAACCGTGTGTGGTGTCTTGAATTGTATTTGACGGATTTGACATATCCCATTACAAGGGCCCAGTGGATTTGTCGGCTTTGCATCTTAGGGAAGTGCTTGTCACTTCTAGATGGTTAGTCAGTGTATGATGTCACTGACTGTTACTGGCGTTACTAGGCCACACTCTATAGTCATAAGTTGTTTTTGACTCACTTTCACTACTAGAACTTTGCTTCACAATGCATAAAATTAACAAACAAAAATAAATCATCCACAGACTGACTGAAGTTCATCCATATATATATATATGGACCATATTATATACATATATATAAGGGACAACAAACAGATCACCTGATCAGCGAATCCAGGAAACGCCTTCATCGAAAGCTTGTCCTCGAACCAGCACGAAGATCTGTGGTTTTGCCTATCGTTGCACAGCCGGCGAAATCGCATGCCCAAGAGTTTGTCCTACATGATGCAATCCTCAAACCGAGAATTCTCTTCAGAAGAAAACCTTTCAGAATTCTCTTCAGATGTCGTCCTATGCTTCAAACCACATGAAAGACAAAGCCATCAATCTTGCGAAGTGGAAGTTCACAGCCCAGGTGCTGCCACCTTGCAGCAAATGAAACCCTTTCTCTACAGCAAAGTGATGAGTTATGGTGTTGAAGTGGTTGCAGGCTCCTCGACCACACAGAAGTGGTTGCGGTGGGCGCAGGGCTCTCACGACAAAATCCCAACAACTCCGACTGGAAGATACCAGGACCCTCCGACCCGACGGTGCCCGCTTTCTGGAAGCCTAGGCTGGTAGTGCGGGGTCCCAGGACACCCTGACAGGATGGTCCTCATGACATATATATTGTTCCATTTTTCGGCCAACCACCCGAATCTTGGCAAATCTGGAAAACAGGTCCTAGACTATCCATTGGGACTGGCATATTATTATGCCTTATTATGCCTACAACCATGCCGGAGCGGGTCAACCCTGGCATGATCGGTTCGTCTAGGAGGCATGGATCATCTGTGGCCCTCAGGGTACTTCTACGAGGTCTAAAAGGGAGATCGCATCACCAGCTCGGTGCATTTTTGTCGGTGCTTTTGCTTCAGCTCAGCTGGGCGCTTGTTTGGTGGTTCTGTTGTGTTTTGAGTTTTGAGGGTTTGGAGCAAGTGCAGAGTTGTGCCTGGCCTGGGCGTTCAGTGCCTGGGCTGGGAACGGGCTTGAACAGGCGGGAAAATCGAAGCCTGCACAGCCTCCGGCCTGCAGCACTGCCGCGCAGCACTTCTCTCATGACACCTCAGAGTACGAGATAGCTTCGCGTCTCGGTTTTTTCGAGGATTTCTGGTCTTGTCTTGCAAGTCTTGCAGGGGGAAGGGATGTGAGGGAGGAAGGGATATGACCATAAGACCATAACATTGATGGAGCCAAAGAGGCGAAACTGCACTTTTGCCGCTGACCTCCGAAAATGGTTTGCCACTGGCGAACGGTCTGGTGAAGGCACTGACCACCATGTGCTCCAGATGAATCAAGCACTAGTTCAACATCTAAGAAGTGATGAGTTAGGACTAGCTAGGACTTCTTCAATGCTTCCCACACATCCACATCTCTTGGTCTTTTTCCGCACAAACTGGAAGATTGGGCCTTTTGTTCATGTTTCTTCTTGGTCACCAGGCCCTCCCTGTTGGACCACCCACAGTTCTAAATCTTGCGCCGCTTTGTGGGCGACATCACCGTGAGCGGTCTCATGCAGTTCGACATCGTCGGTGGAGCGGAACCGCTCAGAAATGCGAGTTTCTGGAGCTCACTGCTGGCATCAAGGCCACACCCACCAAACCAAACCGTGATGTGAACTCTTGAATGATCACACACACCCATTTGTTAGGATGGCAACAACCATGGCAAAACCGTTTCGGCTGAGACTTTCAGTCAGGCTCCCCGCGCATGATGGACCTTTGGGCGCACTGAAACATCGAGCCATGAGACGCATGCCGTACATGGTATGCTATACCTGGATCTTTGAAGCACCCGGTGACTTGCCGCAGCCTTTCGCAGAAGGCCGTGACCCGGTGTCTGGAACTCGGGGTGTGACGAGACATCGGCAAAAGCCTTGTGGTCGTGAGGTGAGAAACCCAACAAAAGCAACCGGCATTCTGAGGCGTTTCTTACATGGACCGTGACAAATAGACCCTTAGTACAACTAGTGGTTTTCAGGGTCCAAGGTAACTGGATCTTCCAACGGCATGCAAATGTTCTGACCATTCTTCATCTATGGAAGCCAGCTGCTGCCCGCAGGTCATTGCTGCATGTCGTTGGAGGATCCCGCTATAGACCTCAAAGAAATCTGTCAAAAACGACCCAACATCTAGACTCAACCTGAGGTGCCCTCTCTGTTCTGAGACCAAAATACTTCAGAACTTTGTTCTTGGTTGAGAAATGGGCTTCGGCTGCCACTTGGTGATCCCACCCCCACCCCCCTGGCATCCATGAAAACTGAGCGGGGGCATCGCTCGTTTGAGCACCGAGGTCTGTCGCAGCGAATTTCGGAAAATAACAAAACCCACCTGCCAGGCCCATCAGAGTTATCTTTACGCCGGTTCAAAGGATCTATACACCAGTGTATATATATATATACATGTATATTATGATATCTACCCTGAGAAGCTAAAGACTTACTATAAAAAGGAAAGGGTCTGACGAGATTCGGGGAGATGAGATTTGGAATTTTCTGAATCCTTCGGAAAGGTTCATGTTGACTCTTAGTAATTTCCGAAAATGTAATTGACCCCATGAAGGGGTTTCAGAATCCAAACGAGGCTATATAGTATGTCATGGACTTCCTATTATCTTGAAACACTGAACCCTCAATGGTCAGAAATTGTTCTTGTTGCTTTAAAGAAACAAAGCCTGAACAAAAAATGAACGAATCATGTTGGAAAACCACGCCGATCTCTGCAAAAATTGGTGAAAAGGACCAATCTTTTTTGCTTCCACACCTTCAAAGTTTCACCCTGAGTCAAAGAAACGTGGTGGTATGCTGAACACGGACTCAAGTTCCAGGTTTCCGGATTCTGGTGAACTTTCGAAAACTCTTGGCCACCACAGTAAAGCACCCTGGCTTTTGAAGGGTGGTAGACATGTGGAAGATATTTCGTGAATGAACAAATACAAACATGATTTTGAGATAGAGGCGTGCCCTCACCTCTATTCTTAATCAATTGAAAAAACACACGTCGCCGAATGGGCCAGGCTCACTGTGGTACGGGTGACCACGTGCTGCAGTTTTACGCCTCGCGAGACACGAAGGCAATTTGGGGAAACAGCTTAATTAGTACATCTTATATTTTGTACTAACTTTCCTATATATGAGGCAATGATGTGATAGATTATAGTCAGATAGATTCTGTCATAAACATCACATACCAGCACCCTCCAACAGGTGTTTCCTGGTGACAACAAATGCCCAGAAACCACCCTTTAGGGGTCTCCAAACAGCCGAACCGTCCTGGTATATTGATCAATCATAATATGCATTCCACAGTAACAGGAATTGCGCAGGAACACGACCGATATCAACAAGCTATGCCAGGATGGTACCAAGAGTTTGGGGTTACTTCTCGGAGGCGTCCAGAATCTCGGAGGCATACTTTCGGGCCTAAAAAACAAAAACACTCTTCGGTGAGGCAATTCCAAACACTCTTCGTGCCATCGGCTCCAAACCCGAAGGATCCAAACTAAATGAATGACAAGTCTCACAAAGGTGTTTGGAGTGGGTTTGGACGAGGTACTTGGCACAAGGTGTTTGGGAAGGTTTTGGAGGGTCTAATATGCTTGAAGACCTATACATATGTGGAAGCAAACCCATCCCTCCAATCTCAAAGCTTCCCACTCTGCTCCAACTCTCCATGCCCGACACCCACGCGCTTTTCCCCGTGCTTTTCGGCTGAATGATCGTTGCTTCGGTCGCGCCTTGCGGCGGTTCAGCTTGGGGATGATCCGCCAGAGCTCCGCATTCGAGGCGGTGGAGGAATCATCGGCGCTCGCCGCCATGATGAGGCCCTGGTTGGGGCCCAACAGGCCTTAGATTTCACACCAGACACCCTCGGTGTCACCGGTGGGTTTTTACCGTTCGATGCCTGACCCGTACCGTGGCACCGGCGGTCCGGTCTTCTCTTCCGAACGAGTCCTGGAGACCACATGGCTCAGCTAGTTCGTCTAGGCTTCCAACTCCATTCGTTGATCGAATCCCGAAGCACCGTTCGTTTTACTGTATGTAGTATACTATGTGTTTTAGTATCTAAGCACGACCAAAACCAGGTAATTCAATGGTCAAGTCAATTCCCATCTTTTTAAGGATTGAACGGACTAAAGCAGGGTGATTCTCAGGCTTGGGGAACACCTGGTGGAAGCCACGCCGACCTCTGAGACCCCACCAGGGTCCCGCGACCCCCCTGGCGGCGGGGGACCCGCGGTGTCGGTTTGAGCCGCTCCTAGGGCACGGACACATGGCAGGCGGACCTTCTCCGGGGTCACCCGAACCAAAGCCTTTCCATTGGTTCGGGCCCGGATTCTTCGGGTTGAAAGCGAGTTTTCGGTGCGAGGCCGAGACGAAGTACAAATGGTCTGACGAGTTCGGGTACCTGCCTGGAACTCTAAACAACCAGAAAGAAATGGATGTTTCCCCAAACATGTAAAGGATTTCAATTGCCTCATATTGGAACAACCATTTGTTTCTGGTTGTTTGGGGTTCCAGGTGATTGAAAGGGAACTTCCGTTACATCCTTCACAAGGGCAAAAGATCGTCTTCCCTCGACTTCCAGGGTTTGAATTTGGCAGTCCGACGGTCCTGTCTTCCACTTTCCCACGCTTCCAACCCGTTCGCTGACACCGTTCGCACACGTGGCGCGCCAAGTAACAAAGGCCTTGTGCCCAGCGTCTGCCAGTGGGCAAAAACCAACGTCCCACCTGCAAGCAGATCTCTGAAACTGGTCCACCCGAACGCGCATGGATCCTCCTATCCCAGACCATCCACGTATATGGCATGTTTACCTACATTGGGGTGCGTTCAGGGGTCACTGTATGTAAATACTATATGCCATACATGGATGGTCTGGGATATGGAGACATTCGGACCCGAATCCGGACTGGAGGGGTCTGGGGTTCTCACCGATCCCAGCTTTTGAAAGGACCAGGTTCCAGGGCTGTTTGTTCAACGGAGCCGTCTGGTCCAGAATGAAGGACACACCAACGAGTTAACCACAACACACGCAAAGGCGCAGATCCTTACAGCAGCACACGCCTTGGGAATCCAGGGACGATTCTTGGTCGTTAGGTAATCCCAGGGCGTTCCTGCATGGGAGATTAGTTTGTTTGACCATCTTTTGGGGAGCTGAACTCTTGGCAACATGATATTTGCAGAACAAAAAGACGGAGACTCTGCGTGTGTATCCTAGCCTAGGCGAACAATCTTGGTTGGTTGCATCTGTAGTTTTGCTGATTCTTGTCGATTCGGACGTAGATTTGCAAGTTGTTTCCCGATTCGCTGAGTCTTCGATCTCTGGCAAGAGGACACATACTGGTAAATATGAAAATGCCTGCTATCCAAAGTTTGCAATGCACAAATACACCAAATTTCTCGTGGAGACAGAAGCATTCTACTCTATCTCCCTTCGTCCATGAACTCTGAGACCTCCAAAACAGACATGATCCTCTTCTCCCAAGGATTGAACGGCCCAAAGACAGACATCGAACGGCACAGTTGGAAGATCCCTCCTCTCCCTTCTCTCCCTTCTCTCCTCCCTCTCCCTTCTCTCCTCCCCGTCTCGGCCTGCCCCACGGCGACGTCCCACGCACGGATCTCGGTGGAGCCCTCGGTGGTCGAGACCATGAGCCACAAGACGCCTCCGTTTGCACCGGAGGCGGACCGAAGCCAGACCGAGACCGGGCAGATGGTGACGAAAGAGGAACCGCAGCTGGATGGACCACCGATTTAAAGGGTTTGACCGAAGCCACCGGTGTTTCACTAAGGTATTTACACTACAACGACAGGTCAATTGTTCTTTTAAAGGTCTTGGAAGGCTAGGGTAAAAACATGGGCATGTTCGTCTCCATTGCGCTTCGTCTCCATCGAGCGTCATGGCAAGTGTTCAAAGCAAAGCTAAGAGTTCACCCAATTCTCTTGAAAAGGACTGGAACATGTAGATCTTCTGAGTGTTATCACAGCCCCTCTTGGACAGCTGACTTTGAGCCATTTGACCCACAATCCTGCATCTGTTCTTCCAACATCGATGGTTGGATATCAGAGTCAAAGGAGGGTCAGGGACATAACATTGAAACAACAAACTGACAGAAATTGGGTACGGTACCAGTGCCTGTGCTCTAAAAAGGGTTGAATCAATGATGGGTCATGTCCTATTTTCGTACTTGAAGTCGGGTCCAGGTACCTTGGAAAATGGGATACACTTCCTGGAATCATCATAGTTACGTGGAGTGAACACCACCTACTTTTTAGGTATTTGGACATGTAATTGCACTATGGTCGTGATGATTCCAGCGAAACTATATGACCCTCTACGGCCAGGTATACGTCGGCAGGTACCAAACAGTTCGACTATCCCGGCCACCTTCAACCGCCGGTTCTCCCGGCCCACCTTCCGACCAAACACCCGACCCAACACATGGTCGATCTACCTCCACCTCCCAATAGGTGAAAAGGCGGCGGAGGCCCCAACGGCCCAAAGAGAGAGCAGGGCCAGAGAGCGGCCCCTCGGGCGCTCGTTGGGCACCTTCGTAGATGTCTCGTTGCACCCCAATGATCTTTTCTCTTTGCCTCGCATCGTCCCAGGTTTTGCAGGTGACAGGGGGGGCCGTAACAGGGGGGTGACAGGGGGGATCTTTTGAAGCGAAGATGGGCTGGCTTTCTTCAGTTCGACCAGTAAAAAGGAATGGTTCACCTGGTTTTGTACTCTAAAATCAAGCGTAAAGCAATGATGTTTCGGTTGAAGCCTATCAATGGTGCGAGGATGGAATTTGCAGAATCCGAGGGAAAATGAAGCCTTCGGTGACTATTGGAAAGAGGTGACAGGTGGACCCTGGTCAAACAAAGGTTTGTGGTTTGGGATATACCAGCACCACCCGGGTGGTATTTGGATGGAACCCCCTAGCCAGGGGGGGTCTATAAACCACCCTTTTGGGTGGTGCTGGCGCTGGTCAAGGCTCAATCAATGGCGGGCCAGGAATCCTAGGGCTTCTCATGCAAGAATAGGTCCCAGGCACGACCTGTCTGGGACTAGAAGATCTGCCTGCGACCCCAAGTCAACGGCCCCTGGCCTGATCGGTAGTCACGTGTGGCCCAGGGGGGGGTGGCGAAAGCTAGGGAAAGAAACAACGCTGGGGCTCTTTTGGCAGCAAACGCCTGGCCGGGAACCGCAACATGTCAGGGCCGAGGGCAAAGGACAGGCAACACACAACCACCCCAGCAACAGCAGCAGCAGCAGCAGCAGCCACAACAACAATAACCGTAACCAGCAGCGGCAGCGGCAGCAGCAGCAAGCAGCAGCTACCAAGCAGCAGGTACCAAGCAGCAGCAGCAGCAGCAGCAGTAGTGGCGGCGGCAGGCGGCAACAACAACCAGCCACCCGCAGGCAGCCAGCAGCCAGCAGCAGTAGCAAACCACCAAGCAGCAGCCGCAGCAGCAGCAGCAGCAAACCACCAAGCAGCAGCAGCAGCAGCAGCAGCAACAGCAGCAAAAGAGCAGCAACAAAGATACATAGAAACAGGAGCAGGAGCACCGACAAAGAAGCAGCAACAGCACGTTGGGAACTGAGAAACGGTCAGGGGGGCAGGGGGGAAGGGTGGAGTTGAACCCGCGAGGGGGGGGTATACTCCTGATATATCAGGTGTTAGCACTCAGGTCCTGGGTTCCCACCCTCCTTGCTAAAGCAAGACAGACTCCAGCTAGCTACAGCTAGCTTTCGTGATATGCCATGCATAGATGGTGTCGTGTCTGGGTATGAAATCTGTCAAGAGCGACATGTATCACTGGGCGCTCAAGAGGGCCTCCTTCTGCGCAAACATATCCCTGCTGTGCTTTTTAGACCTAGACCCTCCAATTGGTGCCCTTGATTTTTTCTATGACATGACCCGAACCTATGGTTACAACTGGAGGTTTGTAGATTAAATCTTGTGTTTCCACGGTCTTCATGGCTCAAAAGACACGCCCCAGTATTCCTGGCCCACCGGTATTATTTTCATGTTTCTTACCGAACAACCATTAAAGCACTAGAGATAGGTAAGGGGTGTCAAGAACTAAGTCAAATTTACTATCTGTAACAAATACTTTTGCTGCACGAAGCCAAAAGCTTGCCAACTGGCAAGTCTCACAGGCCCATCGAAACAAACCAAGCAGATGTCCGAACTACCATATTATTGCTTTGCTAAGGATACATGAAAACCAACAGGTCGATTCCATGTCTTCCATGGTCTTCTCGTTCTCGTTCTCCAGGGCACAGCTTCACTGCTCCCGTGTGAGAGTCCACCAACTTCATGATTGACCTGTGCGGCCACGGCCCATGCTGTGCTAAAAAAGCCAGTCAGAGATCGTGAAGGGGAACCGGAAAATGATCTATTGTTTAGGGATTCTCCTCTTCTTGGAAAAAGAACAAAAATAACACTATCCGGAATCATTCATTTCGGGAAGATCGAAGTCGCCCTAAACATTGCCCCTAAGCTAAGCAAAACCAGGCCTCTTTTTTTTTTGAGCTAAGGGCAAGGAAACTTGGGATCCTGGATGTGTACTAGTTACTAGAGAACCACCACTAACAACTGGATCTTCAACGATTTGACAGGAGGGTCTGGCTGGCTGGTGAGTCACCTCAGCTCTGTCAACGCGGTGATGTTCGTGTTCCTCCGCTTCGGGAGAATCCAAAGAAGAACTTGGTCCCTTCGACGATTTGTTTAAAAGGGAACAGGCGGTTTAGTAGTGTAGAATCCGTAATAATGGTGGTCTAGTGACCATTGTTTTTCCTGGTGGTTGGAAGCCTACTTTACAGTGTGAGGAAAGAAGGCACCACCCATGCGAGTCATTTGAGCATCTGTCAGAACATACTGTCAAGCAGAGGACATGATTCAGCAAGGTTATCGCATTTTTGAGAGGCCTATTATCGCTTGTGGAGGTCTTAGCCAAATTCCTGAAGCTCACTACGCTCGCTAAATTGGTCATTGCATGTTTTGGCGAAGTGCTCATGTGTTCACGAGATTTAAGGTCAGGCCATCGACAATGCCCAGAATCACACGCACCTACTCACCTGCCCTTGTTGGTCCGATTTGGTGCGGTCCGAAAACGAACTTGTTGGGCTCCGCAAACGGCGGAACCTTGGAGGGTCCTGGTACATCATCTTTGGCTCTGGGAGACATAAAGGTACCAGGTGGTGGCCTGTGGGAAGGTGCCGGCAGATGTTTCTGGGGATCAACACACCAATTTGGGTCACCAGGACCATCCAACGGTCCTGAGAACTAACACCTAACATGGACTTATCCATTTGGTGAAGGTCTGTTGGACTTATCCACCTAACCTTTGGGGGACCATCCATTTGCAACATGGACTTAACATGGATAGGTCACCTGTACCAAATGGATTTCTTGGACTTATCCATTTGGTGAACTATGCAAGATGTCTGCCGAACTTGGCTGGTTCTCGAACTTCAGCAGAAATTGTGCATGTCGTTGGAAGATTGATAGGGTCTCTTCATGTCTCTTCATGAGATAGTGCTTTTGAAGACGTTTTAAACGCGCGAAGAATGGAGTCTTTCTCACTCGGGAGGACCCGGTGAACCGGGTGACCAACCCAGAGACTCCAATACCCAGAGACTCCAAGTAAACCCCACGGATTCCTGGCCCACCATGGATTTCATAAACAAACTGGACCGGGTCGACTGGCAGGTCTTGGAAGGCTAGGCCGGCTAGGCACCTACATTGGGGGTCAATGTAGGCCATGGAGTGTCTGGGATATGGTAACCTCCATGCAAAACCCTACCAGACACTCGAAGATTGCGGCTCCCCGTTTACCAACACTCCAAAACCGCCCTCCAGTCAAAACGAAACTGGCAAACAACCCGAACGAAGACCTCGACACCAACGACTTCTGTAACACCGTCGGAGGAGTCCCGGTAATGTAGACTCTTGATTATATCTTTTGCAAAACCTCTTCATCCATGGGGGCTTTAATAATCAATCAAGATGTCATACATTCTGGGTCCTCTGATCTTCAATCCCAAAGCGCATGGAGGCTTGCTTTCTGCGGAGGGAGACGATCATGTGCAAAGGCTGCAGCACGCGCTGAGCCGACGGGCACAGAATCACCACCTGGATCCACGGAAGTCGATTTCAACACGGAAAAATGCGGTTTGCTCCCTGAACGTCGATCAAAAAGAATGGTCTTCCGGTACCCAGTTTAGGTGGCTGGTGGTTGGAAGGAACACATATCAAGTCAAGGGGATCAACCGGGTGGTGCTAGTTTAGAGTACCTGACATTTCCAGCACTTCCGACATCCAGGTACGAGATCGTCTTCCCTGGACTTCTGAGAAGGTGAGGAGACCAAGGGTGATTTGTTTGGAGCACCTAAGGTGGGTGGGTCTGAACCCATTCGCCGTCCGCTTGGAATGACTTCCGCTGAAGCGGGAAGCTTCAAAGCAGTCAGCCGTCAGATGCCTCGACTGCTCAGAACTACTTCAAAGCAGCAACCGGGAATCAATCATTCCTGGAGTCTCAGTTTGTACTTCGATTAATCAGTAATTGCTGATAATTGCTGTTTTTATAGCCCAGACATAGTGACCTTACATGGGGTATGTAATTATGCCATACATGGATGGTCTGGGTAGGATCATGTCCCATTTTCTAAGGGTACTTGAAGTCGGGTCCAGGTTCTTACACCTGCAACATTCAGTACGAACCCAGGCGGCCACGAGTAGTAAAGGAACAAGGTACCAGACCGGTCCAACCACTGAAACTTCCAGCGAGCTCTCGTGGGAACTGCCTGCATCTACTGGGATAGTTGTGGAGCCGAAGGATTTCTCCCTCAGGATCTCAAGATTGAATTCTGGCTGCTTGGTGCTGATCATGGTGGAGAAAAAAAGACGTTGAGAAACGGTGGAATTTCACAGGGCCTCTACCCCAGCTATTCCCAGGATATACCGGAAAACAACAGAAACGATCAGTGATGCAGTGATGCATCCAATCTCAGAATCAGCTTAAGTCTATCTACATGGCTCAAACTCCAAATGCTCGGGCACTGGCTCCAAAAACGCTCCCTTCGTCCGGTGAAGTTCATCATCTCACCAGGCAGACCCCGCCCGTCCACCTGTCCGGAATCCGTGGAGGCGTAAATGGCCCAACCCATATTCACCAGGCCTCGGGTCGTCTTCATCAGGGTCGCTACTGAAAGCACTTCCGAACTCAGGGTCTGGCTGGACTACCCTACTACAACTACCAGGACCTGACTTCACAGGTCATCACCTGCGACGCCCTTGGATCTCCAAAAGCCACCATTTCGGAGACCGACCTAGAGTCTGGTCCTGGCAGCTGTCATCCCGACATGAAGGTCTCGACATGAGTGCTGGGGGACCACGAGAACCGAAAAAGCAGCACGAACGCACAGCTCCTGGAGCTCAGTGTCTTGAGCTCCGTTTTGGTTTTGAGGGCGGACGCGGCTTTTAAGGTCAATGGGTACCTCGAAAACCGAACGAATGATCAATTACAAGGTGCTCAGAAGAGGTTCACTTGGATGGTCTTTAAGGCCTGCTTTAAAACAGTCGATGATCTTTGCTGCTTGTTGGGGGTTCTGAAACTGGATCCCCACGCCCTGAGAAGCCATGCTATATCCTTGTTCAGGTGGATAGCAACCAGTTGGAACAAGAAGACCACCGCATACCGCTAAATATTCCTACAATTTTCCAGAAGGAAACTGCCCTCCCCGCAGCTCGACATCCTCAACCAATCTAAGCCCCTGTCCTTTGGCCCCTTTGGAAATCCAACCGGCCACTTGCCGATATGTTTAAAGTTGAAACATGTGGTCTAATTTATATAATAGAATCTATATTGTTGTTTGAAAAAGAAAAGATTGTGAATCAACAAAATGAAACCATATCTTCAATGGTTTTTGCCAACAATTTGTTGGACAAGAAGCCAGAGCCTTTTGTGCTGCACATTTGACTCCCTCGTCCTTCAATTGGCTCGATCACCTGGCAATCTCTGGCGCTGGCGATGCGTTGGTGCATTGGTTCTTCCCCCCTTTCGAGTCTCGACTCTCAGAGTCGAAATGTCCAGTCGATTTGGGACCTGAGTATAGTCGAACTGGACGAAGGTAACGTGCGAACTTGCATGAATTGAAGATCTCTTGAACGAGTTCGGGCAAGTCCGGTGCACGTCTGTTACCGTTTCATGGTGTTGACATAGACAAGAAAACCGAGGGCACTGGCATATTTACCGATCGGGTGGTTGACCTGGGGTAGTAGGTAATGGTTCCATACATGGAGCGCTTGGGATCTAGGTCATGGGTTTCCCTAAGTAGACAGTAAGTGAGGCGAGCAGGTCAAATCAACCAACCAACTGGTCCAATTCATCTGACTCGCGCCATTCCGTGACCCTTCAACCGCGGCCAGGGTCTGTCAACATCATTGGCCCCCCCCAAACTCCCGGAAACCAACCAAAACCTTGGTCCTAGCTCCCATCCCTATGCCTGCGGCTTCGCTGTTCTGACTGACCACACACCGTTTCATCGAAGTCCATGCGCCAAGCAGCACCGCAGTACCGGAAAGAACTGTTCGGCACCGAAGTCACCCGTTCGTCAGATTACACCCTGGAAGACTCACATGGAACCTAAAAAACCCTGGGTTGGTAGAGGAAAATAGTCTTCCATGGGACCATTGTTATAGGGTCTATGTTAGTCTTCGTCAGATTATGTTCAACAAGAATCTGGGGGTTTTTCCACACCCAGTCCTCGTTGGCGTCCGTCCGGTTTTTCTTTTTGGAAGACCTGACAACGACCAGCTCGTCCTGCAATGGAAGCACTGACCCCAAAAAAGGCCTCCAGTTTCTGTGGCAAGCTCTCGCTCAGGGTCCACGGCTTCGCGGAATAGCCACTTCCACGGTGCACGTGGTGTTCCACAATGGCGCGGCCGTTCCGGTCCAACAAGAGGAGGATTCCTGCCGGAAAGAACCGATTCGGGACCGCCCTGGTCCTGTTTTCATCCACCCAGCGCCGAACCCTCCAAGTCCGGTCTCCTTTCCATGGAGGGTTGGACCGTAAGAGGTCTCAACCTGTGGGAGGCTGGAAGAGAGGATTCACATGAAATTGAAAGAACCGAAACACTCCACCAAGTGCGTAATGAGGCGACAGTTCTGCCATGTGATGTCTAGAGTCTAGAGCGCTGCTCGACCCAGCTGAGCTGTGATTCAATCAATCATATACCAACGGGTGCCCAATGGAGACCTGTAGGTAGGGTGGGGTAGTCTATTGGACACCCATTGGATGACTCTGGTATAAACCTTTAAAAATATAGTGTTCCTCACCCACCCCCTTGTCGTCCTTGCTTCTGTGTACATACCACACTGAACAAATACCCCTCCGATGGACAAGGGAGATGACTTTGAGCGGCCCAACGGACCATAGACCTGCGAGCACCCACCCTCTTGCGTGGTGCTGTTCTTTTCTGTTGGTCGATGCAACCTGGGAAGAAATCGGACCCCTCTGATTGCATAGAGACCAACCACAACGGATTCGCCCTCACTCCTCCCAGGCAGTGACCTCCGGAAGACCTGCTGTCCTCGGTTGTGCAAATAGCCAATGCTTTTCCAGGTGCTGCGAAGCTCTGCAGTGGGGATCGCTGGCTGTAAAGTCAAGTTCCTGGCCGCGGCTGGAGTGATGTCCGGGGCGAAGATCAGATGTTGAATGGATGGCACCATGCGTTGTTTCAGCTGTTCCAACCTTCCGGGTCTTCTTTCATCACTTCAAGCCCTTGAAGAAGTGAAGTTGGAGCTGCGCTTTTGGGTTTGCTGTCGTTGAAACATAGTCCCCAAGAAAGGGGAGTGACCCAGGAAGCAGCGAAAATCATTAATATCACCACATCACCCGAAAGCCGACAAACCAGGCTTGTCCGCTGCCCAACCGGCCGTGCTTGAACGGCATCAACCCCAACCAACCTGCAAATGAGTCTCAATTCCTCATGACGTCATGACGTCCAAAACGCGCATGCTTCGGTCTCGTCACATGTGGCGCCATGAAGAGAAAGAAAGAAAAAACCTCTCGAAAGGATGATTCCACATGATTGCACCGCATACCTGGATCTTTCAACGACATGCAACATTTCTGCCGAACTTGGCCGGCTTACGCCGGCTTTTAGGGATGAAGTTCAGTGGAAATTCTGCATGTCGTTGGAAGATCCAGGTAAGTGATTGGCAGGTGGTCTTAAAGTTCCGTTTGCTGGGAGGTAAAACCGTTGTTTGTCATAGTGCAATTAGTGGTGCGTGCCCTTCAAAACAGTGCGCGGACACAATATCTCTAGAACTCATGACTTGCATGCTTGCCAAGACCATCTAAGCCTGTACAGGCATATTAATGCTGGAAACGGCACCTTTTAACAAGACATCTCAATATGAAAACGTCTAATTACAGTTTACAGTTATATATTAAAATAGATCAATGCTTGCAATCATCAACACATTCAACACATTTAAGAAACAGAAGACAACACAATACCTCCATTTAGAAAACCACTGGTCCCTCTACCACCGCTTAGGCGGGCGAACGCAGTGCACCGGCACTGCTCGCTGTCTCGAACGTCCGTCTTCAGGTCCTCAAAAGCAAGGATTGTTGATAGCCCAAGGCTTCAATGCTGCCCTCCAAGTTCAATTCGGCTGAATAGATCTCAAATTGATCACTCAGCCTGGGTGGGAAACCACCCCACACCCACGCCGCGTGTGAGACACCGTCCGGTGCGTGATCGAAAAACGGCTTTCGTCGTCGTCCGACTCTTCGGCCGGTTCCGCGAGCCCGACGGTGCGGCTCGGACGGAGAAACGCTTTTGGTGCTCCGAACGGTGCTAGGCTCAGTATATCCCATACACTCCATGGGACTGCCGTATATGCCTATTACGTTGGGGTGGTGCCAGGGGGGTCAATGTAGGCATATATGGCATACATGGAGTCTATGGGTATTGGAAGGTGCGCACAACGGAGAAAGTCACCAAGCACGCGGTCGCCGAACTTCATCCAAACTGCAGCCATGCTTTTGGTGCCTTTCCATGGGTTCATGGAATCCGTTGGCGGGAGTGGGGTGGTTTTCACTCAACCATCCCAAGCCCTGGTGGATGAACGCCCCCCCCGTTCGTGATGAGGAGAGAACTCGAGTTTTATTCCTCAAGTTCCTCGAGCTCTCAAGCCAGGATCTTGAAAAATGAGTATCTATATATACATACTACGTACACTATGTGTACTGTATATCATACACAATACACTTGTTTGAAGCCTACTTATCTCGCCCTATTGGAAGCAAGAAATAGCACACATATCATATATCCACAAAGTGATGCATCTGTCTATCCCAAACCTACACGCGGGCCGTGCGCGGGCTGTGCGGAATAGCAACAACAGCTTCTTGGCATAGGGATTGCAGGACAAGGCAGAGGGCCGGAACGCCCTGTGAGGCCATTGGCTGACACTGACCAACTTCACCAAGCTCCTCGAGCACGGCGGAACCAAGCTCTCCACGCCCCCCCGTGCGCAGCCCAGTGCATGCGACAGACCATTCTGCGACAGACCATTCTGCAACATGCGTCGAGAACGAAGGCCGTCCAGGCCGTGAAATTGGGCGACATGGGGTCGCCGTTCCATCCCTCTTCAGATGTAGCTGACTGGACCAGACTGGACATCCCCAGGGAAGACTTCAAGAACGGACTTCACACCCTTTCGTTCGATGGGATTCCGAGGTAGGACCTGAAGTGACCTGTTTCACCATCTCATCTGTGACTTCTTTTCTGGGTGCTTTGGGAAAGCACCTGAAGGGCCAACTGATGCAGAAGGTCTTCATCTGTCAAACCAGCCAAGTTCGGCAGAAATTCTGCACAATGAGTTGGAAGGTAGGTACCTGGACCGGACTTCAAGTACCTGAGAAACTGGGACATGACCCGAACAAAACACAGGTAGATCAGATCTGCACCTTGTTGTACCCATGGACCCGAGGTACAAACTGAGATCTCCCGGCATATTTATGTGGTTCCCTGCGATGCACCTAACTAGTAAGGGGTTGGGGAACTCCTTGTAGCTCCTCGGCTCCCTGTTGAATGGGGAATATGGATGCCCCTGGCTCCTTAGCTCCCTCCTGAGCAAAAGCTAGAATTATGTGGTTCCCTGCAATGCACCTAAAAGGGAACAATTACACGGGACAGTGACGTCGGAAGTGATGCGGCCGAGCGGGAATTTGTTTGGGGGAAATTCCTTCCCTCCATTTCCACATGGTTCAACAGCTCACGTTCCCTGCTGCATGAAGCGAGGCAAAGCCTCATGTCTTTCTGAGAAAAATGGATGGAAACATTGGAAACATGTCGAAACCACAAACCAAAACTCAAAAGCTTCCCAAATCCTCCCAATTCCTGGGATGTCCACCATGTCGCAGAGCTTCGGGGCCGCTTTTTGCCTCCCAGATCTCCGAACCCCCACGCCTGTCATAAGAGTCTGCGGGTGCCAAGCGGGAGGCATGATAGTCACTGTCCACCAAGATCACGACCATGGTGAAGCACCAAAGGAGAATTTGCATCCAGCAACTTCTTTGGATACCTCAGTGGTTGGATATGGTTGGATGCTTGTCGGACTCAAGAAAGCTCAGGAGTTTTCCATCCAACAACTAGCAACTCCCTCCAACAACTCCAGGAGCTTCTTTTCCGCGCGTTGGCCAACCCGTTTTGCTTGGCCAAACCGCATGCTGAGCGCCTGGGGCCTGGGGCCTGGGACCACGGGAACGTTCCGTGCCATGAGGTTGGGTTCGTCTTCAAAGCAATGCCAGTCAGTCCGCAACTGGCATGAGTGATATCAACTACCCAAAGGCTCAGGGTTGACCCTCATAGCCAGGGTTTTGGACCTCAAACATGTAGCAGTTGGTTCGGGTCCAGGGTCGCCTCTGGGTATATTATATTATATAATATATTTGGAGTTGCGCCATTTTCAAAGCTCGAAAAACACCAGAAACCGGTGAATCGGATGTCCCCTGGAAAACACATCGGACTTCTGGTGGCAACGTGACCATATCCCGAGGATTCCAACCAGTAGGTCTCTTACCGAACAACCATTGTTTGACTACGGATTTTACACTGCAACGCCACGTCATCCGTTTTATAAATGGTCTTGGAAGGCTACAGCTAGGCTAGCCTTAGGGATATCTCAAAATGAAACTGATTGTTCTCCCCATCTTTTCTTCATCCACCTACCCATCGTCAGCTGAACGGAACCAGCTGAGTGACACTTCCAGGGAAGATTCTTGCTGGTCTCGTCCATGTCAGGCGCTTCGGGCATGAGCTCCTGGGCACGCTGGGCCGCAAACAGATGCAAAGATGGAAGCCTATACCAGCGCCCGACTCTAGTCTCCTCGTTGGAGGCTTGGGAAGGGCGTATTCAGGCTTGGTCGATCCATTGGTGACGTGGCAGGAAGGTGGCAGTGAAGATAATGGTGCCCAAACGGTCCATATATGCCATATATAGTCCTACATTGGGATGGTTTGGGAGGTCAATGTAGGTAAAAATTCCATACATCTAGTCTATGGGGTAGCAAGGATCCGGACCTTGAAAACCCTTCCCATTTGAGGGCCTCGAATCTTAGGGTAGTGCGCAAATCCTTAAGTCAAACCATGTTGGTTCGGGACTCCAGGCAATCCATGGTGGGGGGGCGATGGAATCGAATCCAAGATGATGAGACTTACTCTCTGGAAGACTCACATGAAAACTAGACTAACCCCTGGTTGGTAGAGGAAAATCGTCTTCCATGGGACCAGGACGTCAGGGTCTATCCCTAGGGATCCAAGTACCTTCTCAGGTACGGTGATTGGAGGCACTGTTATGTAGGTTTGGAAGGTCCAGTCGTACCTTCTGAGGTTCGGTACGACTGGATCCGTAGGGTATGTGAGTTTTGATGAGACTTAGCGGATCTGAAACTGCCCAAGGAGTCGAAGTGGTCGGTGACGTCCATCGCTTCGGTCGATCTCCATCGGATCTGGTCCATCCCGACCGCCCGAAGCGAGGAGTCTAGGGTCTCAAATCCCAGCGCCAAGCACCTTCCAAGAGGTATCAACTACACTGCTACTTGTCAGATCTCCATGTTTCGCACCCCTCAAGGAGGTTCGGGTTTTTTTCGAGTGACTGAGGTCAGGTGAAACAACCCCGGGGCGGCAGACACTGTCGACGCGTGTCGACGCGTGTCTGGTCGGAAAACGAGATGGAGCCGTTGGGTCTGAAAGGATCTGAAAGGGTCGAAATTCGTTCCTTGAGAAATGATGCTCGACATGGAGGGATGTGTGCAGGGTCTGAAGATCCCTGCACCCAACGAAGTAGTGGCTACGATCCCTGGTTTGAGCCGGTGTATCGAACTGTCCACTAGCAAATAGCTAGTAGCAAGGACGCCGCTAGGTGGAGGCCATTGCTATTGGAGGCCATTCCTACTAGTAGCAAGAAGCTAGATCTGATCGGACGTCGCACTTGTGAGGCGGTGATGCGGTGATGCGGTGCCGCTCGGACGGTAACGTTCGTTGTTTCGGGGGGACACTGCCCCAATCCTCCAAACGGTTTTGCAGGTCATCCACCTTTGTTGGGGTTGGGGGATCGGCATGATGAGGCATGTCAAGACTCCCTGGCAGGGTGGTAAGTCGATTGAAAGGGGGGGTCGTCCAGCAGGTGAAGCTCTTGATAGAAAACCCTTGAGTTGTGAATTTGCCAAGTGTACTGCAAGCACTGTACTGACCATTTAGGAATCCGAAAGGCTGAGCTCTTCGATATGGAGTATCATATGCGTCAAGGAAGAGCATCGCTGTCCAGAAAATGTCCCGTCCCACTCCCACGATATGCTCGCAGAAAAAAAATATAGTGGAGGTACACGACCGTGGCAGGCTTGGCCCAAAAGGCAGATCGCGCCGAAGGAAGAAGTCAACATCACAGTGATCCAAAAGAAACCGGTACCTGGAAACCCACACCACCAGAAACAAAGGGATCAAATTGGATTCTAGGATGCCCACTAAGAGTGACACCAAGTTAAGCAAACAAAACCATAACAACATATAACAGCAGCATTGAATACCTTGCCGCAAGCGTAGAAAAGCTGTGTTGCCGCCCCGGCACGACCGACCCCCCCAGGCGCTGCCGCCCAGGCGCGAAGGGCCGCGCCTCTGCGGCGACCGCCTCCTGCGCCGCGTTGCGCGGCGAAGCATCGATGCGGCTCTGGAGCTCCTGCGGCCGACGCAGTCCGCGGGACGCTCCGGACGAGGAGAAAGGCAGCTGGGCAGCTGGGACGAACAGGTCGACGCCGTTCGTAGGTTTCGTGGTGGTCGATCTGCCTTCAGAGATTCACAACGCATGGTTTACCATGTAAAACATTTCATTGGTGGTTGACTTGGGGTCAATGTATCATAATGTATCATATTCCATACATGGTGGTAGTAGGGAGCTTGACTTTGGACCCGTGACTTGATGGTCCGAGGAAAGGACCGCAGAGCGGTGCTGTCTCGGTGGGGGGACGAACATAGATCTTCCAATATACATATTGGAACATATTGAGGAAATGGAACATATTGAGGACGCTTAGTTCCAGGGATCTTCCGCAGAATCTTCCGCCGAACTTTGGCTGGTTTCATAGATGAAAAGGAAAACATTCCGCAGAGGGAAGACAAGCGCGAAAGGTAGACTCGCGAAAGAGTCGCCTTGGATGAAAAAGAACCAGAAATCACATGTTGGGGTAGTTTCTAGTCCCATCCAGTGAGTGGATGTGCTGGGGACCCCGACTTCCTCCGTCCATTCGGCACCCCTTGGTCATTGTGGCTCCTGGAAACTTCCACAAACCGATGGCTTTCCACTTCGGTTCCGGCTGAGTGGTCCACCACCCAATCCGATCAGTCCCGATCACCCCCTACCGGGTCGTCCAAACCCTCCACACACTGACACCCAGACACGACACGGACTGGGACTGCCATGACGGACAGCTGATCAGTTGGTGCCAAAGGGGGCAATGTAGGTATAAGACTTCCAAGACCATTAAGCAAAATGTCCAGCAATTAAACTGTAGATTCAGCTGAAATTCATGGTTGGCCAGGAAGCCGGTATGGCAGTCCCATGGAGTGTATGGAGTCTCTGTAACCATCGATTCCAATCGGTACAAGTCCACCGCCCCCCACCGCCCACCGCTCCCGGATGATCGCGCTCATGCGAGAGAGGTCGATGATCCTCGGCGTGGGTGGGCGATTCAAGCGTGGGCGTTTCAAGCCAACGAAAGGTTGACTTCATGTTTGAATGCCTTTCAAGACCATTCAAAGAGTGAAAGGTTGACCTGATCTTCTAGTATTTTTGTAGTGTCAAATCCACCAAACCTATGAGTTTTCTTCGGGATGTCAGGCCAGAAATCCTCAATGGTGGGCCAGAAATCCTCAAGCCAAACCGGAACCGGTGCACATCGGAGAAAAACACCGGGCGCGCAACACGAGTGTTGCGCTGCGCAGTGCGCCACATCCAGCACGGTCTGACGAACGGTGAACCTGGATGGTCCGTTAAAATATGGTCTTTGGACTTCTAGGGATTCTATATTCTTGTCTTCAAAAACGGCTCGTATAGCCCAAAAGAGTGCAAGTCTTTCAAGAACCTGGATCTTCAAATGATACCCCCTCCCTGAAATCTAGGGTCATTATATAATAAGGTACGTATATAGGCACGTGTCTCTTTCCATGGGAGACTTGCTTTTTGAAACTCTCTTCCCCAAAAAGGCTCCGTCATCACCTCCTCAGTTCGGTAGAAAGGGACCCACCCAAAAACTACCCACCCCTTCCCCCACCTTCAAAGGCACTTGGAGCCCCTGTCGGACGGGAAGATTGCTGCTCTTATAGGGGTGCTCAGGTCCGCTTCCCACGCTGCGTCCCTGTCGGGATCGGAACGAGTCCCTGTCCCAGTGACAAAACCGGTGAGTGGGTGTGATGTCGCGGCACGGTTCAGCTTTCCTTCAGCCGGCGGCCTTTCCGGTTCTGCCTGTGGCACCCCGAAGATATGACGAAGGCCTTCAGGCGAGCGACTCCCCTCGATTGGGCTGAGTCAACTGCACCTGTCCTGAGTGAGCATCCACCCAATAGAGCGCCGCATGACCTGCAGTTCTCCGGCAGAAGTTCTGGGCTTTTGCTCTATAGAATGGTGGCGGGGATGGAAGCAAAAAATCCCGTATAAACAGAATGTGCTGAGGTCACCTAGCCAGACCATGTTCAACAAAGCCTTGGATTCACAGGGTTATCAGACTCTGCGTATTGTTTTGCCGATCCCTAGCCGGCGACGAGCAGACCAATCTTCAAAGTGCGAACGCACAGTCACAGCAAGAACGACGAATGATCAACTTCCCTCCTTTGGTTTCAGGCCCTAGGCCTCCAGTCGTACCTTCTGAGAAGGTGGGACTGGGGTGGGTGCCAGGAGGGTCCGAATACCTTCTGAGGAGGTACTTGGAGGTGTAGGGAGGTACTGCAATTGACAGGTGGACCTTCTATGACCAACCATATATTCTACCAGCACCTTCCAACAGGTCTCCTTTGGAGGGTTGTTAGGCCCTAACAGGTTTCAATTGGTTGGAGGTGCTGGTACAGGAATCTTGAAAGATGGAATTGGAAGGCCCCCTGTCAACACCTACACCCAACTCTTAGCAACAGCCCATGCGCAGCGAAACCCGAGGCGCGACCGCGTCTGGTGATGCGCTTTTAGAATAGGTGGTGGTCGATAGAGATTATCTAAACATGCATTCACCCTACACCCAAGAAAGATGGAAGTGGATCAAACAAGAACGTTTTCTTCATACCCAAAGGCTCATTGGACCCTAATAGCCAGGGTTTTGACCCTCACAGCCAGGGTTTTGGATCTCAAACATGCAGCAGTTGGTTTGGGTCGCCTCTGGCTAGAAAATATATGCACGTGTTCTTTCAGATGGCCATAGTCTCCACCCTCCATGATTCTTAAAGACAAGACCCTCTACAAGTCCAGGTCGACTATGTTTGGCGCCACCCAAATAAATGAAGTTCCTAGACTCGAGTCATGTGGAAAATAGTCTTGGACGAATAACCAAGAGAGGTTAAGTGACCTTTATAAGACCTTACTGGGGTACCTATGGGGTAGGCTATAGGGTCCTTCAACCTCTGTTGGAATTACCTGGGATCCTCCAACGACATGCACAAGATCTGCTGAACTTGGCTGGTTTGATGGACGACGTTCGCAAATTGGTTGACTTACCGACGATACTCAAGCTATATATGGAGTTGGGGCTCATCCGGTTGTGACCCACTTGCATGTAGGCCATCTTTGCTCGGATCCGCGACCTTCAACGCTCGAAGAATGTGTCTCTTAAGGAGACCCTGTGGCATTTTCACACGGACCCGGAACCGACCCGCCGGAACCGACCGAGTCGACACCCCGGGACCACGACCGGCAGGTCGCCACGAACGAAACGCCGGTCATGGCCTTGGCCATCTTCACAGCAGCATTGCAACCAGCTCCCATCGTCGGCCATCTGTGTATCATCTGGCCTCGTGGGCTATCTACTTCCAGTCTGGGTCAAGACGCAGGGGGAGATAGACTGACATGAAAAACATATATACCAACCGAATCCCTCAAAATGTTCCTCGCGGGAAACCCTGTAGACGCCTGGCAGAAGCATCAACCTTCACCGCCCAGCACCCGTCCTTGGGATCAAGGTTTCAACCCAGTGGCTCATACTCTGGCAGGTTCAAATGATCTTCCAGCTCTTTGACGTCTTCTTCCAGAATCACCTGCGATGTTCCATGCTCAAAAATGGGGAGGAATCCGCGGGGGTACTTGTGTCAGGTACAATTGTTTCATTGTACACGGCTGGATGTGTCCCCTTTGATCCAGCAAGTTTGAGGATTCCTTCATGATCTTCATGGATTTCATAGTCTAGAATCCCGAAACCAACCATTGTTGCACGGTTGTGTCTTTGGAGATGTTGCATCAGGCAATGCCTCGCTGCTTCTCACCGGTAGGTCCACCCGTTCGAAGAACACCGAGGAGGGCTGAGAGCCCGAACAGACTGGGCTGGGGTCCGAAGCCAGGTTTGGAAGTCGGGGGTGGCCCGGAGCGTTTGGGAGAGCAGATGGGACCAGCTTTTGGAAGGTAGTTCCTGAACTCGGATCACTCAAAGAATGATACCCAACAGTTCTATGTGGCAACGACAATCATCCAGTGTGGATAATGTAGACGTTTGATTGATCCCAAATGGGGAGGGTTTATTAGTCAAGAGTCAAGAGTCTACATTACATAACACGCGGTGGTGCCTGGCAACTTTGGCATCAGAAAACCTGCCCCGGCCTCAAGCTCCAACAAGCTCCAACTAGCTTCTGAGAAGGTGCAGAAAGGGTGAGAAGATGTGGTTGGTGTGGCCCCGATGTGGGCTGAGACCTGCGGTACCTGGATCTTCCTCCGCGGAAATGGCCATCTATCTTGCTGGGCTTTAGATTCCACGCGTCATACTTTATACTCCAACAGTCATGTGTGAAAAGGCACGACTGTGGACGAAGACACAATGTATAACGGGATCATCCAATGACATGTGGAAGCTCTGTCAAACTTCATCAAACCAACCCAATTCGACAGAACTTCTGCGTGTTTTCCAGATCCAGTTTCGTCACCTTGGATCCGGTTTCGTCACCTACTTGACTGGTTGACCTTTGGTTGACCGCAGAACATGCACCAAATCGACGCCCCCCAAACTCCACCGAGACGGGCGTACGGTACCTACTGGCACCCGGCTCTAGGGGTCTGGCCCCCCCGCTCCCGCTCCGGGCCCTGTCAGTCGCACGAGCCGCCAGCGTGGCGCCACGAGTGAATTCACGAGTCGCACGGCGCCTGCATGCGGTGCAAATCCTCCGCTTCCGCCGCACTCAAGTGTTCCACGATCTCCTGAGGCTTCGCTCCGGCGAAGCGGCAGGGGAATCCGGAGGACTGAAGGTAACGCATGTGAAGACCGTGTGCCAGGAGTCGTCCTACGTGTTTGGCCACACTACTAACCAGTTGGTCACACTCACCCTGGTAGCCTGGGTAGTAGACTGAATCTCAAACAAAATCTAAAGGAATTACATTCGTCCACACTGCGGGGCCCCTGTTAGGGCAACGAATCGGCTAACCAATGGATGCAATTGATAGATTGATGGCTTGTGTGTACTCAGATTCTTTGGGCTGTCCACCCCGGGCCCCATCGGGCCCCCAGACCTGCAGTCTAGTTCGTGGACACTCCGCGGTCTCGTCCCGTCCCAAATACCCAATCCCAAACAAATGGCTACTCCAATAGAGGCCGTTTACATATAGCAAGTGGTGGCTTAGGGAAACATCCATCTGTTTCTAGTTGGGACTGGGTTTCTAACGGTTACAGTGTCTGGTCCTACGTCCGGCACCAGTGAAGGTCCTCTGGTCCACAACACGCGCGGGCCCGAAAAACACTTGCAGGTTCACATGCCGGGGATGGAAACCATGTAGGACCATCCATGTAGGGCCTAATTAGGCGGCCTAATTAGGCGGTCGGTTTCAGGCGTCAATGTAGGCGGTCCTATGGCAGTCCCATGGTCTGGGAAATGTGTCACCACCAAGTCACAGGACCTCCGAACTTCTTCAACACCTTGGAGATCTGCTTCGCTTCCTGCCACAGCACTGAAATTGCGCCAGCAAGCGCAGTGCGACAAAGAGATGAATGAATGAGTGGAATGGAACAGAATGGAAAGGAATGGAAGGGACATGGACACGGAAATGGAATGGAAAGAAATGACATGAAATGACAAGGGAGTGGCAAGGAATAAGATAAAAATGAACATGAACTGGAAATGAGTGACTCAATGACTGAATGAATGACTGAGTGACTGACCGAATGACTCAGTGAATGAATGAATGAATGAATGAATGAACGAACGAACGAACGAACGAACGAAGGATTTATGAGGCTTACGCCTGACAGCCGGGCGCCGGCCTATTTGGGTTTGGGTCTGTGCAGGGCTGGGTACTCTCTCTCTCCCTCTCCTCTCTCTGTCGTCTCTGTCTCTGTCTCCGTCTCGGTCTCTGTCTGTCTCTGTCTCTGTCTCTATCTCTGTCTCTGTCTCTCTGTCTTCTCTGTCTCTGTCTCGGTCTTCTCTGTCTCTGTCTTCGGTGTCTCTGTGTGTCTCTCTCTCTCTCTCTCTCTTTTTGAGACTGTGTGGGGCCTATGTTGCCACATCTTGAGGCAGTCTTGGCCCATCTAGGGGCTATTGGGTCCTCTTGAGGGCCTCTGTCAGGTCGGAGCACATGTTCCGCCTTTGCTGTTGGCGCGTGCCCAACACCAACGAAATGTCGATTAAGCCTGTCCGCGCGGCACGCATAACCGACACCACCGGCGCCCTGTTAGGCGAAAGTCGTGGCCGCCGAAGGCCACGAAACGCTGTAAAAAACGATGTTTTTGAACCTCCTGCGCAAGATACATATAAATCTGTCGACCGGATTCGGGCGGGGGTCGGGCGGGGGTCGACCGGGGGTCGGGCGGGGGTATACCGGGGGTCCAACAAAAGGGTCGGCGGCAGGGGCGGCGAGCGTAAAAAACCTTCGGTTACCAACCGATGGGGTCTGGGAGTAGAGCCTTGTTCGCGACCCGTTGTTTCTATGTTCGCAACCGTCCGCAACCGTTCGCAACCGTCCGCAACCGTTTGCAGGTGTCCGCAGTAGAGCGCCAAGGCGCTGCCATTGGGGGAAGCTTTTGCAAGTGACTTTTCATGGATGTGTCATGTGTCAGTTTGCAACGCTATTCCATTGTGATTCGCTTGAAAATGACATGTCGCGCAAGAAGCGTGATGCATTTCGCTGCACAGGCGCAGTGGTTTGAGAGATCCGCAGTTTACTGCGCAGTTCCATTGGGATTAGCGTTTGGAGAGTCGTGTTTTTGGGGTGTTGGATGTGGCCGTGCCATTGGGATTTGCATTTCAGGGTGTGGCATCGAAGCTCTGTTTTCGTGACAAGTCTCAGCTGAAATGGCGATTTGGTGGATGGGAGTGTGCTCAGAACGGGTCGAAATCATTCTAAACGTGTGGTGTGGTGCAAATTTTGTTGATGAAGCTCACGTGAGATGATATTGTCACTTTTCGTGGCAGGCACAGTACTTATTTTGAGGTGTGGAAGTGCGATTTTCGTGGCAGGCGCAGGAAATCGTGAGGTTGCGAGGTGTGACGGAGGTGACATTTCGTGGCAGGCGCAGTACTTTGTGCGCGTTAGACGTGTGGATGCGGAAAGATTCATGGCAGGCGCAGGGAATCGTGAGGTCGTGAGTTGTGGTAGAGGTGAATGTCGCTGTCGCATTGGGATTGGCGTGTGAGCGGGTATTGTTTGGAGGGGCTCAACTCGCGGATCTGCTTGGCAGGGCTGCGTGATGTGTGTGTGTGTGTGCTCCGATGGATGTTTCCGCTTGACTTTTGGAGGAAGTCTCGTACGAAATCCTCGCTTTGCAGACTTTGACATGTGAGTTTTGGAGGAAGACTCGTACGAAACGCTCGTTTTGGAGACTTGACACGTGACTTTTGGAGGAAGTCTCGTACGAAACGCTCGTTTTGGAGACTTGACGCGTGACTTTTGGAGGAAGTCTCGTACGAAGCGCTCGTTTTGGAGACTTGACGTGTGACTTTTGGAGGAAGTCTCGTACGAAACGCTCGTCTCGCGCAGCCTCGAAGCGTGACTTTTGGAGGACGTCTCGTACGAAACGCTCGCAGGACTGCTTCTAGTGTCCCACAAGAGTGTCCCACAAGAGTGTCCTACGAGAATGTCCCACAAGAGTGTCCCACAAGACTGTCCTACAAGAGTGTCCCACAAGAGTGTCCCACAAGAGTGTCCTGTAAGTGACCCACAAGAGTGTCCTACAATAGTGTCCCACAAGAGTGTCCTACAAGAGTGTCATTTGGACATATGTATATAGCTTTTCGAACGTCTTTGCATTCGGGTTCGTGGGCTCCATCTTTTTTCTCCTAGAGTGGTTGTTGCTCGGAAGGCCTTTTTGTCCTGGGGATTGTTCCCTGTGCTCTGCAAAAGCAACACATGTCGGCGATGGATCCGGGAATGCACTTCTGGCACCCCCGGGGCCCAAAATCAACTATGACTATATCTGAGATAAGCTGCTAGAGTGGTTGCAGAGGCTGTGAGGAGTGACCATGTTGCCCTCATGCTGCTCCACCGTTGCTCTCATCGTTGGCGTTCGTGACCGCGTCATCGTTCCGCCGTGATGGCCAAAGAGTCTGGCTGGTTCTCATCGTGGTCATCATGGCATGCTCTGACAAAGAGCTTGGTGGGCCTTGGCTCTGACATAGGGTCATCATGCATTCATAAATTCATTCATTCATCCATTCCAGTCCATTCCATTCCATTCCATATCGTTTCATTTCATTTCATTCGTTCATTAATTCATTCATTCATGAGTAGATGGATGAATGGATGGATGGATGAATGAATGAACGAACGAACGAATGAATGAATGAATGAATATCATATGAAATAAAATGAAATGAAATGAAATGAAATGAAATGACATGAGATGAACATGAAAATGAAAATGAAAATGAAAATGAACATGAAAAAATAAAATGAAATGAACGAGAAAATGAAATGGAATGAAATGAATGATTTTTCCGGATTTGCCGGACGTCGCCCACCAACCAAAGACTCTAGATCTGGTGGCTATGGCACGGAAGAGTCTCTGAGTATCATCAAAGACTGGAGCGATGATGCCATCAATAGTTTGACCCTCCTTCTGTCCACAAGCGGGAGCAATCTCTTGGATGCACCTTGCGCATCCACCAGGAAAATCATTGTTCACTGTGTTCAAGATCGACCAAGTGCAATTTGCTTCTCCTTGTGCCGTGATTCCTTGTGGATTAGTTTCAGAGATGAGGAAGCCACCATATTATATATGCCAGTACGATGACAGAAGTCCTTGACATCAGCTTGGCTTGAGATGGTCTTGCGCGTTCTGACAACATCACGCTTCTCCGGGCCTCCTCAAAATGGTGGAATCCATCATCATCGAAGAAGTGGCTTGCAGTCTCTCGATCAAGGCTTCCCCATAGATCCCACATAGATCTAAAGCGTCGCCAAGGCTTCCCCATTCGGAATTGGAATACAGACTTCACTTTCTTGGGGAGGTAAAACGTCCTCCAGCACAGCCCTCTGAGATTCCTTGTTCTCCTGCTTTTGAAACGATCTTCTGGAGCCAGCGTAAGCGAAACGATATCTATCCGATTGATAGAGTTCATTCTCAAAGCCCAGGAATGCTTCAATGAGCTTGATGAAGCATCACCTCCATGATCATGTACAAGTACCTGTGGATCACCTCTCTCGTACAGTTTGGGAGTGGACGAATACTTGGCTCAGTGCCTATAGTTGGTCAGTTCATGGGGCTCTGAGCTTCGATCCCCCCAAGCTCCGAGGCTCGTCTTGTTGCACCTTTGGATCAGAATCCAGTGGACCATGTCGGGGCATTCACCCAAACACACTCACATCACAGACAGCAAACCAAACAAAACCACCAAGAAACTAAAACACATATGTCACACATGGATGAAACAATCTCTCTCTCTCTCTCTGCTCCTTGAAGGCAGCCGCTGCACACCGATCCTTGCTCATGAAGGGCAGCGCTTGGACGGTCACCTGACCGCCGTTTGGAGATCTGCGGGGCCCGGTGGTGGCGCAGGATCCCTAGGCACCAAGACCCTCAATTCATGGTGACCTCCTTAGGTTCGGTAGCTCCTGGAACCCGACGTTGGATCCGCACCCCGGGCCCCGGTCGTCCCACCGAAACGAAACGAATGGAGGCCTAGGGGTGAATAGGCGATAGGATGCAATAGGCAATGACCGAAGAACCATTGTTTTGCTAAACTAAGGATTCTACACTACGAAACCAGATAGTCCAGGTCGTTCCCATTATCTTTATAGTATTTTATAGTCAAACGGAAGGCGAACGGGGAATGTCCAAATCCATTCACAAGGAACACTGACCCAGCAGGCATGTGGCTTTTAACAAACCCTTCGTGCCAAACAACCGAAAAAGATCCCAAACATTCACGACCACAGCAAGAAATGTAGGACTTACTCACACATGGAGCATGTGGGTACAGCATCCATCCATCTTGAGAAGAAATTGAAAGGACATGAAGAAAACGACTGCTTGGTGATAGCACTGCAGATCACGAGCTGGCCTTTGGCATGGTGGCATTGGCAGCGGTTCGGCCTGGCCGGGGGTTCCTGTCTCGTCCAGTCCAGTGGACAGAAAGACCTTCAGGCCGAGAAAGCCTTTTGAATCCTTTAGAATGTCCCAACTTCTGGAATATCTATGGTGTACTAGTACTTTCATGATCCGACCTTCCATTTCAGAGTAAGTAAGTTTTTAGAGTAAGTAAGTTCCTACAGTAGTCGCCCCTTTTGCCGGCAATGTTGGAGGTCACTTGGAGCTTAAGTCAACAACAGGTCACGAAATGGCACTCCAATCAGGGCACCCCACTGAAGAAGCTGCTGAAAAACGGACCCTCCACTACTCTACCTCTTTTCTTCGTCTGTTGGGTTATAGTCCAAAGATCCGGTAGAACCTGGTCGACTTGACCTCCTTAAGTAGTGTTTGTGTATGACCAACTCCATCAAAATGAGGTCAAACAGACCTGTACTGTAGGGTATAGATCATCCATACAACCAGAATGAACCTCTGGGCCTTTATAAACTCATGAACCCTGGACCAAACCAACCACACTCCAGAAACACCGCATAAGTCCAGGTCGACTATATGTGGTCTCACTGAAGTAAAGGAAAGTCCTAGACTCGGGTCACTTGGTCAGTCCATGTTCCAAATAGTCGACTGGACTTTCAGGGAACTCTAAATCCACCATGAAAAGCACCCCCCACCTCCTCCCCCCAGACAAAACAACAAGAACCTACTACTACTCCCCAGTTTCAGGCCCAAATCCCCACTTGAAAAAAGAAGAAAAGAACACGTCCCCCATGTTCGAAAACGTCCTCCCGGTGCTTCTTTGAATGACCTCTCTCCATCCTCCTATCCTCTCGGTCTCAGGGGCGGAAGCGCTTGCTGTGCCATCCAAAGACGTCGAGGTAAATGGAGGAACGATAAGACATGGGCAAGCCAGCTCTGGATTTCAAGGGGCAGGAGACCTGCCAGGACGGAGCTGGCGGAGCAGACGGAGCTGACGGAGCTGTTCAAGTGCGCAGTTCAAGTGGCGCACCTGTGGCGCACCTGTGGCTTTGTGGGGTCATACGTTCACGTGTCGTGAAGGGGGATATTCATGAAATCCAAGACACGATGTTCTGAATAAATTGTGTTGAATGAGATCACCCGAAGAGGACTTTCCTTTCGTTCGCGTGCGCGGAGCAAATGCGTGACCATCCCGGACGTAGGCCCCTCTGCGTGCACTCCGCGTTGGTTGGGGGTCGGGAGGCTGATACTTCACGTGTCACGCGCGCGCGCGCGCGACATGCGGGGAAGGTTTTGAGTTTAAAGCAGACTCGCCCAAAGGCAACTCATACTTTCATAGACTTTCAAGAAGTCACTTAGGTCGCACAAAGTCGCTTAGTACTGCACTGGCATGATGTGAAAGACAAGTCACCTTTCATCTCCTTTCATTTATCTGACATGTTGCAACGTCTCTTCCTCTCTTTATATCCTGAGCCTTCTTTCCGTGCATTCTTTTGATGAACATGTCTCAATCAAGTGCACCAAAATCAGCCTGTCCTCTGAAAAAAAAGGAAACACACACACACACCTCATCGCACTCCATCTCGACACACCGCTTTGGCCCCAAATGTTGTCGCCTTCAAGATGATGATAATCCAAGCCATATGCAATGCACAGGCCACCAGCGCCAAGGACCAGGGTGCCCAGGAAGGGATGAATTGATCGCAGGCGCGCAAGCCCACTCGTCCATTGTTGTCTCGAAGCACGGCGAGATGCACCTCATCGGTCTGAGCTCAGCGAACGAATGGGACCGGACGATGGACCAATCATGTTGCCTGGAATGGAGAGGTCTGGTGATCTGAGAAAGGCCATTGAGGGGGTGTTGGTTGACTGTCAACTTGGGTCAGATGTCAAACACCTAGGACTCTGATGTTGCACATCAGTACGTCAGTACGTCCATGTTGTTCATCAATTGGTGAACTGATCCACAACTCGCCATGCTACTTCAGGTGGGAGTCCTCCAGTCGTACCTCCTCAGGTTCGGTATCACTGGACCATCCTGGCGTCCCCAGTCCCACCCCGGTTCGGTACGACTGGAGGCCCGACTGCTTCGGACTGGTCGACTCCGACCGGTCGACGAACACCTCGACGGAGTCGTGCCCCCCCAAAAATCGAAGGCCCCGGGAAAAAAGAAGAAAAACAACACCATAAAACCCTATATGGATCCACTGCCACCGAACCTCAGGTTCGGTAAGACTGGACCCGAAGCACTGGCGCCTACATATCAATAGGGTAAAAAAAAAAACAGATAAATAACCCCACGCCCCGGGCAACCAAAACACTTAGTACCCACAAGAGGGGGCCAACAGGTCACTGGTCTCCGAGTAGATCGGTCCCTCCGCCACAGCAGGCAGTCCCACCGCTCGGTGCGGACATCGAACCAAAGTAACCCTCCAAAAATACCTGGACATACCTGGACCATCCAATGGGCGCTCAGTAGTGGAGGCGACCCGTCCCCCCATGACTCCTTGGCTAACCCGTTGAACACTCGGACGGGTAGAACGCCCTCCAAGGTGCGGCGAGAGTCAACACCAAAGGCCCCAGAAAGATGGCGGTGTCGACCATCCTCCGTTGCCGCTTCACCACGAAGAGGTCCTAGCAGACGGTCCGACTTGGACGAGTAGGTCGACCCGAACCAGTGAGGTGGACCTGGTGGACCTGGTTGTTGGGTGAAACAAATGGTTGGTTTTCTGTCGGGGCAACAGGCCACACCTTTGAGCCTCCAACCGAAAAAAGCGATGGCCTCCATCCGAAAAAGGAAAAATATCGGTTGTTTGGTGCCAAAACACTAGATCATGACCAAAAACCCTCACGCCTCACGAGTTGTCTGCTGTCGAAACGACGATGGCATGCACTTTCGATGTTGCAAACAGTGTCAAAACAAGCAGATTAGCGATGCTTGTTAGCTTGAGCTTTCATGAAAGCCATGTATTTGAGTGTGGTAGACCGTGCTATGTCTATGTATATACTGAAATTCAGTTATACATTCCCTGAAATCATCATGGTTACGTAGGTTCGGCATGGTCAAGGAAATTTGGACATGAACATTCAACAAACCAAACAGCTGGTGTTTCACTCCCACCACGAAACCCGGGAGTTGCGCAACTGGAGTGGTTGCAGTGAGTTCCTTTGGGCACCGGAGTTTCACCCAAGCATCTCCAGACCGAACCCACCACACCGAACTCCGAACGAACACCGCGGTGGTCTCCCCGAAACGACCCAACATGGAAGGCCAAGGCCTCCACCTGGTAGGAATGAATCCATCCCACCAAGACCAGGCTCTCGGGGTCGTTCATGTGCGTCATGTTCCGTTCTCGACTCGACAGGGAGCCTTGATTAGCTTCAGGTATGGGGGTTTCGTATGGTGTTGTCTTTGTCGCCATCTGGAGGAAGACATTCATTCCGATCTCCTGCCCAGAAGTCCAGGTACCACCAAAGTTGTCCAGAAACTCCCACACTCAGGTCACCTATAGTTAGAAGGTTCTTCTAAAAATTCGACTGGACTCCCAGGGTCCAGCTTGTACAAAATGCAGCCAGCAAAGGCAGCCGTAGCGCTGGAAAGCCATCCAGTTGCCGCGTTCCTCGCCAGCTCATCGATCGAATCGATCACCGTTTGGGGGGTGTAAAGCACCAAAGAAGGTACCAACAAGCGCTTGGGATGAGCAAAGCGCAAGAGAGGGTTGTTCATAGGGCCGATGTAGATCAGGCAGGCAACGGGAAAGAGGTTCACGAACGGAGCAAGGCCGGATCTTGATGAAATATACATCATACCCAGACACGACCTGTCTGGGACTGCCATATATACCTTGACCCCCCTGGCACCACCCGATCGGCCTGATCGGCAGTCCTATGGCAGTCCCATGGGTCGTGTGTGGGATATATCATCATATGGTTGCATCGTCACTAAAAGCCTGTCTCAACCTTGTCGTGTTGAAAAGGCGTTCCGAGACCGAAGAAGCCGTTGTTTTCGCGGAAGGCGCAAGCGCCAGGCTACTCAGACCCCGTCACCCCCCGCAAGCCGTCGGTGTGTGGGAGGTGCCAGGTGAGTCTCAGGGACCTTGGGAGAGTCACGACAATCAGGAATCATACAGGAGTCAGTGCTACGTATCATGTCAAACATGGTTTCCATCATGTACACCACATTCTGCCAGGGCTATCCCTTTTATTCATCAGGACCCCTGAGGGTCATAGACACCACCATAAAGCCGAGATCCTGGTACCTGGACCCAGCTCAGCTCGGTGTAAGGGTCCGGCCAGCCGATCGCAAGGAGGCGCCAGCCGATCGCCTCCCCCCTGTCTGTGGGGTGTCTCTTCTGCCACTTGTCTGTGTTGTCAGAATTCGCTGAGGCACTGAATCTAAGACTGAACAAGAGACCAAACACCTGGAAGAGGTCTGAAGATCCACGATTGACGGAGTCCGATGTGGGAAGTTTGAAGGGGCCAATGTTGGAGTGCGCAGAATTTCCGCATTTGTGTGGGCCATTGATTTAGCAGCCTGAATCCCAAAGAAGCATGGTTTTACTAAGGATTCTGCACTACAAAAAGAGGTCAACCCCTGTTGGTCTTTGAAGGCTATAGGGTACCACTTCCCAGACACAACCGGTGGGGCTGGAAGAAAAACAGCAAGCACCACTTTATGGTGGGTCAATATGCCAGTGCCAGAGAGGCCCCCCTATAGGTTTCTCTTTCTACCTAGCACTTCCTGTCTAGGTGCTCTGGAGTAGGAGACCTATAAGTCGGGTAGGGTAGTCTAGCCAGGACACCCAGACAGGATGATCCTGGTATTCTTTGGGTTCCAATCCCTGCTTCCAACCGGCGTGACTTGGGGTCAACTTGGATGAGATTCTATCGTGGAGGCAGGTGTTGGGGTGGGTCTGTTCATGATGTGTCATGTGCTTCCCTCAGGGAAAAAAAGGGAAAAGGAGCGCTTAGCTATAGTGCTTATTTCCATTCCAACACACATCCGGAGCTGCACTTGGTCCCTGCAACAAGCCCCTTCTCCACGAAGAAGTGCCTCCCAAAAAGCGGTTGAACAGTGCTTTTGTCTGGGAAACACTCCGGCAAAACATCTTGCCATTGGACGGCCATCCGATCATCCGCTCTGAGTGCTGAACCGCATCCGAGACTCTGCGAAGGCTCTGGCCATCCTTCTGTTTTGGTCATGAATAAGGCAATGGCATAGTATGCCCCCACCTTGCAGTCAACCAGATGTGGCTCAAAAACGCCACGTCCCACGTCCTACAGGATGTTCCTCGTCATGTTCGAGTTGACTGGAAGTTTGAGGGGGAATTTGGGAGCCATAATCAATCCCTAAGGCCTCCGGTCGTACCTTCTGAGAAGGTGGGACTGGGGTGGGTGCCAGGAGGGTCCAGTCCAGTCATACCTTCTGAAGAGGTGTAGGGAATAGTCACATAGCGCCGCAAGGCTGCGATGCGGTCAGGGCAGTCGAACTGAATCAGCACAGAATCCTGCCGATGGTATTCTTTAGCAGCCACCCAATTCATGAAACTGATCAGCAACTCTACCAACTCCTAGGATTGCACCAATAGCACCCTACTACGAACCTGCGCACACCTCCATAACCCGTTGGATTGTAAAACCTCTTTGGCCGTGTCTACAGCCGTTCTTGGGCCGTTCGACCAGGGATTTTGGTCGAACCTGCGCTCGTTCCTGCGCCCCTTCCTCCGACACGCCTACCCTCCTTCGGCGCGCTGACCCCCTCGCGCTCACCCCGCACGGGCACCAGCAGCAGCTGCTGTGCCGACACGGTCAAGCTAATGCGCGCGTAGGCGTCGAAGCAGGCGTAGCCGCGCTGCACCTGCGAACTCCGGGAACGGGACTGTGTAAGACCTGGCATCCTGCCCTTCACAGCGGATGAAGCGCAGAAATGTTGGGGATTCCCACAACCAATTGTCTTATAGGTATTTATCATAATACAAACATGTTCACGAAAGGTTTTAGACTACAGCACCAGGTCAACCATTTCTTTTCTAAGGTCCAAGGGAAATCAGTGAATCGACTTCTCTTGAACCAAGAGGAGCTGGGGCGGAGGTTTTCCTATACCTAGAGGTTCGGTGTCACAACTCTTCTTTGGGTGTAGAGCCAAAATGTGTGTCCAAGTCAAAGGGGAACATCAGGAGATGGGTGGTGTCAATGGTGCACCACATCACCATAGGCATTTGTTTAAGATCTCACAGACTCGCAGGGTTTTGTGAGGAGTTTGAAACGTGACAGTCAAAGTCACTCATTGGTTTGGTCGACCTGTGCGTCAACGAAACTGCTTCGACCATGACTGGCCGAAACCATACCTTTCTTCTCTATGTTGCACCAGGAAAAAACAACCTGGACCCCCCAAGCAAAAACACTGGCAGTTCAATGGGTTGCACAATTGGTTGTGGTGCGGACGGGTTCTTTTTCTTGGATCCGGATTTGCTTAAGGAGCTGGAAAAAACGAAGTCTTGGAAATATCGCCATGACAAGAGGATTTATCCAGTTCGGGGCAAAACCTGGTTTTACACGCACCATGATACACCGGTCGCCACGTAGGCGATGCCGCGACTAGTTCTGGGCCCGCCTTTCGAAGCATCCAGAAGTGGGAGTACTGCGCCGCGCTCTTCCCTGGGCCTCGCCGGTTGGGAAAGGGATTCGTGGCAATGCCTAGACAGGATTCGTGGCCTACCATTGAATGGGGTCCACAAACTTGTTTTACAAAGAACTTTACACTACAAGACCAGGACGACCTTTCTTTTAGTGGTCTTTGAGGTCTTTGAAGGCTGGGAGTTGGATGACCAATAAGTGGTTTTTGTCTAATCGGAGTTCACTAAAAGGACTCCAATAAGAAACAACAACCAGTCGAATGTTGTGGTTCAACGGTGGGTCTGTTCATTGAGATCTCTTTTCCCTGCAAAGGGAAATCACAAAGGAAAATGGTCTACTAGGTCCTACCAGGGGTCCCAGACTTAGGTTTAAGGGAAAACATGGGAAAACCTTCAGGAAACCCAAGTCGTTTTGTGGCTGAAACGTCTTCCAGCCTCGGCCAAACCAAAAGCACCAAGTCCAAAACCAACCAAAGACCTGCAAGTGACGTCCGCTACCTGACCAGCTGCCATAAGGGATCAGCTCTTCGGCGTCCGAAGTCCAGCTCCCACGCCGTCTTGTTGGATGAATCTCAAGCCGTTGACCTTCCGTTTCTTGTTGAGGGCAGTGCCCTTGGGCTCCCAAAACAGGTGACCCTGCAGGTGATCCACTGTACTGGGTGGGTTCCTCCCCTTCCTTTCCCTTCGACCGAGCTCCTCCATCAACCGTGGCCAGGAGTTGACTGATGTCATCTGTGGCATGGGCGCCCTCCTCCAGCCAGGTGGTCGCCTCCGCCTCCTCCTCGCATTTCGCCAACAAAGAGGGTGCCGTGCCCTAAGCTTCCAACCACTGATTAAATAGCCTAAAGCCTGAATCCCGAAAAAAACGTTATTTATACTGTGTTTTTCTGTAAGGGTGTTAACTACACTAGACGACTACAAAACCTGGTAAACCACGAATGTGTAGTGTTGGTCTTGGAAAGCTAGGGGTGGAACACCTGCTGCACCTCGGGAAGGGGTGACTGATCTTCAAGGGAGAAAAACTCAGTGACTGACCTTCACTGATCCTTTGTTTTAGGTTTGGGATGGTTTTGGGTTGCCACATCACCGGTGTATACATCTTCGATCTACTTTGGGTGGCCGGACAAGGATGGATGCTTTTTCCTATCAAATCCCTTGGATCTTCCCCCCTTGAGTCTTTCACCAGAAGGCCCATCTGCGTATCAAGAAAAGCATCGGGAAATGACACTCCCTCCTCAGTCACTTAAGCTCAAAACACGAGCAAATGTCCAACTTGATGTTGCCTTTTTCGCTCCAACGCGATGACCTGGCCCTGGAGATTTGGTTCCATCCACCCAAGTTGACACAAACGTGAAATCCCCGGTCGCGAGCCACCTGGCAACATCCCGTTGACGAGCATGATACTCTAACGCAACTGCATGCTGAGACACATAGCGACCAAGCCTCCGACAGAAATCATTCAAAACGGATTCAATTTCCTGATCAACGGAGCATACCATGAGAACAGCCCGAGCTAAACCAGTCATACCGGCTTTCCTGCCGCCAGCTTCGGGTGGGCGAACGCCTCATCTCTCCAATCAAGACGCAGCTTTTCCAAAAAGTCCACTATAGTTCAAAAACCCCATCGGTACGGACCTCCGCAAAGGCGCCATCCATCAAGGACAGGTACTTCTCAACGCTCCAGCAGCTCAAGTCCCTCTATTGGCTCAGCTCCTCCTCCCTTGTCTTGGCATGGGAGGACCCTGAACCAGTTCTTGTCCCCCTCAGATCTGCGGCCTAGATCTTCAGCCGCACTTGGGGCAACAGCAGTCCAGAGCTGGAAGACAAATGTAGAGGATTGCAAGGCAGAGGAGGACCAGAGCCGCGAGTCCCAAACTGGGAAGGTAGGTAGGCGTACTGTAGGACCCCGACCTCACATCCACTGACTGGAGGGTCCTCCAAACCAGATCCCACCAACCACTCACCCTATGGGGTCGTCGAACTGCGCTCCAGCACGGGCATCAGCCCTTGGCCTCTCGTTCGCCCAACCGAACCTCGCGATCGCTCGAACTCCGCGCGGTCTCCCGGCCGCGGCCGGTCTATTGGGGGTGCGAAGTCGGCGACGCCCAATCGCCCGGTCCTTGTGGACATCCGTCATCTGCGACCTGAGCGGATCGACTGGTGCTGACGATGAGGAACTGGGATGTCGCTGCTCCGTTCGGAAGCCGGTAAAGAGAATATTAATATATATATATATCCCTTAAAGGGGATTGACCCAGTTTGGGAAAAAAAAAATCACCTGATCAGCAAAAGCATGTTAGTAAGTAATGAGAGCCTGCTTGGCATGCTTTCCTGGAGAGATCCAACAATTTTCCTCACTAAGACCATGCACCAGTATGTCTAGGGAAGTGAGCAGAGCAAAGCTAGATTGGAAGTCCAAGACCCTCTTTAACATGGTTGATCTGGTTTTAATTGTAGTGTAGAATCCTTAGTAAAACACTGGTTGCTCAGACGATTTAATTAAACAAAAAAAATGGTTCGACTATGTTCGACTTCTAGGGCTAGCTTGGTAGCGTGTCTTCCAAACAGCTGAGTTCGATCTTGTATCCCTCAGAGTCCAGTCATGACTCATTGTGGGCCCCTTGCTAGTGATGGCTTATGACTCCCAGGTGGGGTGGAGTCGAAGTTTGGGATAAGACAAGACCCTGAGAGTCCCGTCGACCAGAAACCTGATCGCGGGCAGCTTCCGAAATACTTCACTGAGCAGAAGAGAGTCTTTCGACTTGAAGAGGGGTATATGGTTTGAAGCAAACTCCATGTCACTTTGATATCCCAGACCATCCATGGGACTGGCATATTTATATACATCGAACCCTATGAAACCCACCCCAATTCATCCGTGAATATGCTAGTCCCGTCTGGGTAGGTCCGGGTCTGGTTGACCCCTTTGATCATCTTCAGCACCGGTTCGGACCCGTTTGACCCTGTGAAGCACCGGAACTCCGCCCGCTCTTGGGGCACCGGAAGTTGGACCCCCGGATCGCCGAATTCAGTTTCATCAGACCGCATCATCGGAGAAGACGGGGGAACTTCCAGGGGGTTCACGGAAAGCAAACACCCAAGCAAACGTCCAAGAAACTTCTCCGTGAACTTCCTTTTGCTTTGCGTCTCCTTCTCGCGGTCCGACACCCTGAACGAGGCGGTGCTAGTCCGTCGTTGGGCCCGGTCCAGTCGTGGTGGACGGAGACCGTTGGGACGGGCGAGGAGAGGAATCTCCAGACCATCCATGTAGCAGGGCACCCTAAGGGGTGTCCAATAAAAACCTTAGAGGTTAAGGGGTATCCATTACCCATCATTAACCACCCCTTTCGGGGCCCTTGGTATGGAATAGTTCCCAACCAGGACCATCCTGTCTGGACTGTAGTATACCCCACGTTACTGGGTTTTGAGCCAGGACACCCTGGCTGGGGATGGTCATGGTACATTTATATACCCCATTTATGAATGTTGGATAATGTTGGTATAACTAATATCCCTAGGGCTTCTGGCCCATCTCCTCAGGTAAGGTGGTTGGACCCCCCTGACACCCACCCCAGCCACCGAACCGAAACGGAGCTGGGCCAGGAGCCCTAGGGTATATTCCACACATGGATGGTCTGGGGAACCAACTTTCCGGTGGGGTGCTCGGCAGGATTCCTGTGCTCCGCCCTGTGGCGTGCTCGCCAGGCGTGCTCGGGCAGTCTAGGAACCAGGGCAAGAACGGTCTACCGTTGTAGTGGAACTGGAACCACCGGTGACCTACCTTACAGTAACAACCATTGGTTTAATAGGTTTATAATATATATATATATATAAAGACTCACAACGGCTTCTCGTCTTCTTTTTGCAGTGCAGACCTGG